CAAAACATTTAATAGAATTAAAGAATATCCTTATAAAAAATTAGGCTTTTGTATTTAGCCAGAAGGCTCATTAAGGGCTGATGGTCACTTCAACTTTTTTCCAGTTTTTGTCATTTAATGACTAATTCAGCCACTCACGTGCTATGCACTTATTTGATCTGTTTATAGCCTGGTATAAGACAATAGGTTTCTGTGAATTCAATATAATTTATCCACCATCAGGAAGTGGCTGAGTCATAATTAATTGAACTTGGTCAGAATTTCTCAGAATGCTAAGAGTTATAGTGGCTTTAGCAAGAAAGTCATGTTTGTAGGAAATTAAAGTGGAAGTGTTTGTGTGGGGCTGATTTGACCTTTCTTGTTAATGGAAATGGTCTCAGCTATATTATTGGTGAAGGATAAAAAATGCATGGAAAGTGACAGAAACATGACTGTTGAAATGTAACTTCATGTATACACAGAAGGGACTGTGATGCAATAAGAACACCCTTATATAGAACACCTAATGCAGTGGTCGAAACTGTACTCGTTCACCTCTCTGAAAAGAATAACAGCAAAATATCCAGATAGTTTAGCTAAATGACACAATATGACAAAAACAAACAAATCATAAACCCTTTGATTTCTATATTTTTCCATTTTACTTTTTTATTAAGTCACTTGGATCAAACTGTCCTCTTTTCCTTGTACCAAAAAAATGTCAAGTTGTGATTATAAACAGAGGAAGTCTCCCTGTTAATGACATAACATGTTTTAGAGAATGAAACCTAAGACGAGCATTCATTCCACGGTGCTGATTTAGACTCAGGAATAGCCAAAGCGAGTGGCAAGAGGAGAGATATCGACAAAGCGGAGATAGTTTGGACTTTGGCATAATGGGGAAAGTGAATATATTGGACAACGCATGATGAAATGACCCTGGGTAAGAAGGAAAAGAGAATGACAACAAAGCCTCAGGGAAGCAGTAAAGAAGTTTAAAGAGGGTTGTTGTGACAGAGGAAGACAGGAAAGATTGAGACAGAGGCAGACGGTCCCCTGTTCTGCACATATATTTGAAATGTCCAGGTTAATTTACCTTCAAGTTGGAGACTCAATTGTTTTGATGATCTTTCTCTAATCAAATTGAATATTTTGAGTTCCCATAAAATCATAACAAAGAGAAATTACAGGGAAAATTTGCTTCAATTTTTTTAATAGCTTGGCTTATTTAAAGGCCAAAAAGTAAGGTTTGCTATAATTTGGGCTATTCAGTAATTACTTAAATAGTTAAGGCAGTGTAATTAATTTAATTTTCGATTAAAAGAAAAATAAGGACAGGAATTCTCACCCTGGCACAGAAAAGGATTTTTTAGCTTTCAGTGTCAGTAGCTTCTAATGACAGTGGCTCCGCTCCGTTCCGTTTTTAGGGAAGAGGGAAAAAAAGCACCATTCTAGAACAGAATTTTTTAGTCTGTTTGGGGCGAAGGGTTGGGTCAGGAAAGGTCTGCAAATCTACAGTGAAATGCAATGTTCTAAAATGTACAGATGAAACCTGTATAGAAAGAAAGTGTATCAGCTCTGCTCATTTGCAAGGCTCCCTCCTCTTTCCCCATTTAGAGGGCAGCTTTAATTCAACCAAATTAATGAGGTGAACAGCATGTGATGTTTTTCATTCCACTGAAAGGCGGAAATAAATAAAATAAAGGACGCATCTCGTAGCTACTCTCAGACAGACATGGGTACTCTAAGTCCTATAACAAGTATCATCAATTGCAAGTATATCAATTAAAAATGAATATATTTTTTCAATAAATCACATTTTCTAAACGAGAAGAATGGTCTGGCATAGATGTGAACCAATTTTGATTTATTACTACAAATGAATTCATTCAGGCTTCTGATGTTGGAGCGACCCCTCTAGAGTCCTGATTTGAATCTGATTGAGGTCAGAAGACCTTTCCATTAGGCTAATCTTTTGCTACCTCCATATATTCTCTAACACTCATATTCCATATATTGAAAACACAAAATCAGGTAGGAAATAAAAAAAAAAAAACAAAAAAAAAAAAAACTTACTTTTAACAAATAAACAACACAAAGATAAATTGTTTAGCAAACTTTTGAGATAAGCCTATTAAATATGCTGCTGAATAAAGTCTGTTGGGGATGTAATGCTGGGCTTGACTGTACTTTCATCTGCAGATTTGGCTTCCACTTGTAATTTTTCAGATGAGTGCTAGGCTACCATTTACATACCCAATAGGTTGACAGACCACTCAGCAGTAATTGTTTTATTTATTGAAGCACCTGCATAAAAAAAAATAAAAAGCTTGATTACCAGCTGCTGGACAACAACAAATAAATTCAAAACCTGTTTGTGCCAGCAGAACACCAACAGTTTCGCATCTTTCAAAAAACAAATCCTTTTACAGACACTGCAAACATGGAGCAGATGCCATCCAGATGCTTTAAACAGCAAAGAGTCACCTGAATGAAAACATGAAAAGTAACAGTTCTTGGAAACAGAGAGGGGGCAGACCCTACTGGTCTTCGCGTGCTGCTGGAAACTTCGCTCTGTAGAGCATCAAATGATTTAGAGGGTTGCTGAAATCTTGCATCAGGAATGAAATAAGCGTGTCTCTGTTTGACTGAATGAGACCAGCTGCCAGCTTGGTAACAAGCTGCACCATGAGTGTTTGCTGTAGAAGACCTAATGCATCAGGCTTAATCAATAATAAAGTAATGGGGGGGGGGGGGGGGGGGGGGGTCATGCAATGGCTAACCTGCCTGGGGCCAAAACAGTCATTGACTAAAAATTACATTGCAATTTGCCTTTAATTAGTGGCTCTGCAAATTATAATCCTTAATACCCTGTGGTGGTCTAATTAAACGTTTAAAGTTTGTTATTAAAGCATTTATTTTAGAAATTATAAAGACTTCTCTCCAAACTAATTGGTACAAATATATGCCTTATATATGCCTGCATCCATCATTCTATGCAGTAATATATCAGTGAATGAATTATTGGAACTCTTTCCCTGTGCTAAATGTAAAACAGGTGTTCTTTAGAGGAGAAAAGAAAAAGGTTTTCACTCTGGAAAGCTCTCTACAGCCATCTAGTGGCCTAAACTGCTTATCACAGCTTCTACACTGGATCAAAAAGTTAGGCAGATTCACCACTAGAGGGCACATAATCCCATCACTCATAGCCACTTTAAGAGGACTGAAAAAAACAACTGGAGAAAGACAAGGTAAGGTTTCCCATCATAAGCTTTATTCTGGTCAGAGTGCTTTTACGGATTAAAAAAGGCTGATCTAAATGCATTATTACCCAAGAACCTCCAATCATTGGTTAGTGAAATCAAGAGTCGTATTAAACATCCAGCAGTCATACTTGACCCCTTTGAAAAGTTTATCCTTCTGGAAAGAGGCCACTCAACGCATCATTAGTGGAGAAATCAATACAGACACAAAGCCGGTCCTGAATTGAAATCAAAGACTTGTTAAGTGTGGAGAGAAACATTAAATGAATTTGGCCCCAGGCAATTCAATTAAAACACTAACAGGATGGCCTAAATGGGGCTTTTATCCAAGTTGTCCCCAATTCCAGAAGCTCGGAAAAGTTAAGAGTGATTTTCATACAAGTTAGTGTTTTTATTAGAACTATCACCCTGCAATCTAAATTAGGCGGTCAGAAGTTAATTAAAAGTATACTTTAATCTTTTTTCTTCCAGGGTAGTGGAAAGAGTATAGAATGAATAAAATGAATTCAAAATTTAAATTCAATTAGCAGAACAAATATGGATTATTGTGGATCTCTTTAATCAACAGAATCAAAAACACATGTAGTCCTAAATGTAGGAAAACATCAACATAAAACTTTGAAATAAAAACTGAGTTTTTTTAGATTTATATTTAATCTGAAAAAGCCAAGCTCTTATAAAATCTTGTATGGGATTATTTGCTGCAGCTGGTGTTTTCCCACTGACAGCAGAGATAGGATGAGCTCGTAACATTCATTTTACTGACCAAAGCTCAGAACGACGAACAAATGTGTCATGTTATGAATTTACCCAAAATGAGCTGCTGATGATTTAGGAATCTGGGGCTGTCCTCAGATCAGATTTACCTCATGATTTACATCAACCAGCCGAATCGGATGAAGACAATTTTGAGAACAGTGCAAACGATACTTCACAGTATTTAAAAATGAATGAATGAATCTCATCAGCCGGCTAACTGATTACAATTCAAAACTCTGTGCTTTTGGGAATATATCCCCCTTCTAGGCATTGCTTAGATTATTGCTGAGAGCCACGACATACTGGTGCTGCAAATCTATGGCTTATTTTTTCTACCACCAACCTCAGGAAGCAATTACCGGTCTAAGCACAAAGAAAGACCGGTGTGCGGTGTATAAACTCCTAAACCAGCTAGTTCAAAACATGTGTGGCGTGTGCTGACGAATGCTGCTCTGTCACCCCTGCCTCACTCCATCACTACATGCACTTGGCCTGATGCCACTCTAGATCCAGTATTTTTGATTTACTGGTTGTGATTGGTTGTTTTCATCCATGCAGTTATTGCAGGGATTGCTTTGACTGGATGAAAAAGGCCTGTCTTTGGCTAGTTGGTGTGGTTTATTGGCATAAGTTAAACAAGCGTGCAGACATGAAGCCGAACAAGAAGTAGTGGAGCAGGAGCACAGTTTTATCAGAGTTATCAGAGAATTTTGAGTAAGCAGTATAGTGGTCAGTGCTCAGGATGGAGGCACAATTTAAATTTTTTTTTTAATTATGCATAAAAACCAAGTTGCATGATCTAAAACCAGATGGTCCTTCATCAATGTTTCTAATGTAGAAAGAGAAGGTTATCAAATTGCAGCATATATAGGTTAGAACTATTATTTTTTTAATTCCATGCTGATTGTCCTTATTTCCCAGAAAGAGTGAAAGAAAAGGTAAAAAAATTAAAAACTGTAAAAATCATCAGTATAATATAAGTGAATAAAATCAGCTTACCTCTCCTCAACTTGCTTAATAGGGTCTGTTAAGTTTACGGCTTCAGTGGTGATCTCAACCTTGCGGACGCTACCGAAAAAGTCTGTGATGAGGACGCTTCCCGGATCCCTCTGGAACAAGTCAGTGCGATGACCCGGAGTGGACACGCACTGACTTGAGGGGCAAACTTTAAACTAAGGAGGAAAAAAAAAACACAATAATAAAAATTTACAGACATTAATCTTTGCCATTAGAATAAAACTGCTTATTGCTTTTACTCCTTTTATCTTTATGCAATATTACAATTTCTTTGTTGTCATTCAGCATTCAGGTATGACAAAAAGCAACATCAGAGGAGATCTGCAAAGCAGTTCACTATATTTATGACAATGTATGGGGCAATTCTGTTTAAAAAATAATTTGATTTTTCAGTAAATTATTTGCCAATACTTTGGTGCTTGTGTTGTGTATGAAAAAGAAAGAAAAAAAACAACATCCTGGAGGTTTTTTTCCCCCTCCGTAAGTGAATTGAGCAATTTATCCGTCTATTTGAAAGGTGACATAAAATCATTACCCTGACCTGAACATTACCTCTGTTAGTCAAACAGGACTTGAAAATCCATCACTAAAGCCTTACAGTGAATGCGAAAGCCGGTTCTTTCAAAAAGCAAAGCTTTTCAGGCTGGTTTTAAAAACCTAATAAGCTAGTCGAGAAAATCCATGGTATTGGTCTTTAATCCCAAAAAAGCACCAGAACAAAGAGTGCATCAACTGGAACGTATAATTAGCATTAGCTGGGGTACACAGAGTAACTACCATATTTTGAGATAAAACTTCTAGTGGTCCCTTGGCTCGATAGATCCTGGCAGGAGTCCAAAAGATGAAAGGGGAGGCACTGCTGAGGCCGAGCCGAGGCCCTGAGAGTGTAGTCAGATGTCAAACACAAACAGACCACACCTTCTTAATCATTCTGTTTCAAGTGTGCACAAGTCCTGGGAGACCTCTGTCGCTTTCATCTGACTCTTATTGGAATGAACAGAGAGATTCGGTTCCACTAACATAGATTAAGAACAACAAAAGTTTAGCAGAGTCAAGCAGACATCTATCCTCCACAACAAGAGTTTTCTCCGTATCAGATGCCAATCTGTGCTCGTTACGTCATACATTTACGAGATACATCAGCAGAAAATTGTTACAAGTTAAATTTTAACATCATTTTCCCTACTTTGAGGATCAACGTTTAATTTGGTAATTGCTTCCTGCGCAACAACTGTTTCCTGACATTATTTTGAAACTCTTCGCTCCCTCAGCAAAATAAGAGATGGCTTTACACCAACATCAATCTTGATAGGTCAGTCCCTCGCATGTTTTAAATGTGACCCTGTTGCAAGAACGCAAAGATCAACAGTAGAGTCGTGTTAGCGGTTTCCCACAATGTAAGGGACATAGCAAACATGGAAGAAGATGGCCTGGTCGGGTGACACATTAAAATCTAGCTTTCTTTGCCTTTTTAAATGTGCAATGCACATCATAAGAAACACAATATTCACATGTTGGTATATGGTAGTGGCAGCATCATGCTGTGGAAATTAGATTCTTCAACATAGACAGGAAAGCTGCTCAGAGTTGCTGGTAAGATCGACTGAGGTATAAACAGGGCAAATCCTGGGAAAAAAGATTATTAGAGGCTATAAAAGACTATAAGGTGAAGGCCAACAACAAAAAAAACATTTTTTAACATTTACATATCAGATTTCCGATTCCTCAACTAACTGCTTGAAATTAAAAACAGCTGAAGCAATAAATTATTCTCAGATGACGAAGTACAGCAAAATCCTCACCTTTCCTCATGTTAAGTCAAGTTTAAAAAAAAAGTCCCTTTAGGTTTGAAGTTTTAAGATGTATCAAACAAATATCCCCTTTCATTAAATACTAAATTGTAAGCTTCAATAAATATGAAGCTTAGAATTTGAGGAATTGCTGCTCAGAGGAATACCCCGACCAGACTGCAGGCCAAAGCCATGATGTTTCGGGAGTAAAACCTCTCATACATGGAGGCACCCTAACAGGTACTTTTGGACTATATGATTTCAGATGAGAGAAAAAATCGGCAGCAGCTTCTCATAAAACATGAAACAAAGCCTCACCAGATCGTTCATGTTTGCTTTGCTCGCAGGGTGGATGTCTTCCAGGAACTCCAGCAGGTAGAAGGTGTAACGGTCCATTAAATGGACTCCTATGGCCAGATCTGGCTGGTGCTGAAGTGGAGACAGGGTAAAAAAATTGTATAAGATTTCCAGAACTTGTTGGACAACTCTGTTGCGTATAGATTTTTCTCCAAAGTTCTCTTTATTTAGCAACAAGTTAGTAAGTGAAATCATTGCTTGCTGTATGTTTTCTGGTTCCTTCAACTCTCCATTACACAGAACCAAATTTGGAGAAGCATTTAGTTCTAATGTGCCACTTATATGGAACCAACCCCCAGAAAACTAAAAGTTTAGCCACCTTAAAACCCTCTAAATCAAGGTTTAAAACCCATTTGTTGATGTTGCCTTCAACTATCCCGTTTACACCATTAACTGTAACAGATTACTTTTGTAGCCCAACGTTTCTTCGACTGTCTTTATATTACAACTGCAATGCACTTTCTCTTTGCATTTTTTTTCTTATATGTTCATTTACAGTTAATGAATTCAACTGTCTTGTAACTAAAACTGTATCTGTAATATAATAACAATCTTAAAAAAATCTCCCAATCGCAGATGGACTATGTTTTTTTTCACATTATACTTAAAGCTGCAGTCTGTAACATTGAGGAGAGAGCAGACTTCGACTGAAAATTTGAAGAAAAACAGGTTTCACGCCACTCCCCCACCCTCTCTGCTTCACTCATGCCCCACCTCCAAGCTCCACCCCTCTCACAGCATCTGCGCGGCTACCGCATGCGACCAGAAGGGGGGGGGGGGGGGGGGGGGGATTCAGCGTGTGTGAGCTGTGATTGACACTCCATCAGACGCTCCTCTGGCTGTGATTGGTTGTTTTGACTCGTCCCGAATTATTCTTTCCTGATTGAAATACAGGCAGTAGGCGGTACCAATTGAAGCAGTTTTTTTCACAGGTTACATATCACATGTACTGCTGTCTGGGCATAGGGACAGTTTTAGCCAATACGAAAAAAAAGTGATTTTTAAAAACTTACAGACTTCAGCTTTAAGAGTAAGAAGCCAATATTCTTACTGTAAACCTTTAGATGGTAGCAGGCTTCAAGGAGGTTTGTTACCACACAGAAGAGAAGAGTGAGAGTATTATCATGCGATAAAAAAAACTCTGAACAAAAAAAGTGTTCAAGGCCACGAAAACAATGAAACCAATGAGCCAAACGTAACCTTTCAAAATGTAATCACAACTGCAATTTAGGTTGGGTTCTGGTCTGCATGCTATTGGAGATGTGGCTTCACCGAGGGGACTGTGCACTTTATCTTACTCTGGGCCTTTTCAACCTGAAGGCTGCTGCTGCTCCCATTCTTTACTGACACCCAACCACTTTGCAGTTTATATTTTTGCACCAAGGTTGCATCTGCCTGGGACTGCTGCGGCCTTCTGGAGCAACCTCTGCTTTTCTGTTTCTTAGTGCTGTGTATTGCAGACCTTTTATAATCGTCTGTCTCTCCAAACAAAAACTAAATAACTCTCTACACATTGGGTATATAAGTAAACCCAATTAAAGAAAACACTTATTTTCACACATACACTCTTTTACACCAATGTTGTACGTTGATGCTGGCTCTAGCTTTCATTGAGTGAAGTATATCATGCAGTAAAGATATCTCAACAAGGCAGCCTATTTGTGGAGGAAATCTTCCCTTATAGGTGTAACCAACCAGCCTCATTATAGAGAATGATTGTAATACTATGACAGGACACGTACACAAAAAGGAAAAGAAAAAAGCAATTAAGACAGGCTCAGTTATCTGAAAATATTTTACTTGATATGTATTTCTTATGTACCTGTCATTTTAAGTCATTTGCAGCCTCTTGGCCAGGAAACCCTTGAAAAAGAGGCTTTTAATCTCAATTAGATTTTTCTTTTTCTGATTAAATAAAAGAAAAATATAGATGGAGTAGAAAACCTGACAAAATCTGTTGGACTATTTAATTCAACAATGTGCGCCATAACATAACTCACCGACAGAGAGTCTTCCCCGACCTGACTGCTGGCCAAAGCCATTATGTTTGGGGAGTAAAACCTCTCATACATGGAGGCACCCTGACAGGTGTCGATGATGAAGAGCAGCTCATTGTACCTGCACAGAGACATAAAACTATCTAACTTATTTTCTAATAAAACCCAATCAGAAAGTACACAGCTGGCCTTACACCAGTCCTTTGCTCCAATAAAAAATAAGACTTATCACAGAAGCCTTCACGTAGCCGTTACCATGGCCACCGAGTAAAAGCTTCAGCACCATTCAGTCCTGCCAAAACGCCTACACGCCATTTCACCCCCTTCCTTCTGCTCTTCTTCTCCTAAGAAAAAACCTTTTCCCCTTCAATCAAACATGAATAATAGAATCAAGCGGACTGAATCAAGCTGGTTTGAGGTCAGTAAAAGAAGGTGGCAGTAATTAAGCAGCTAAAGAGTGCAATTATCACAGCAGCATCAAAGCTGCTTGGGCTAATCTCCACTGAGGCAGAGAAAAGCTTAATGCAGGAATGACTTCTGATTTATTGATTTTAGTTAGACCGCTATAATGCAGTCCTATTACCAAAAAAAAAAATGTGTGATTTGGAAGTGAAATAGGTCTAAGACCTGAACATGTCGAATTTTTATTTTTTATTTTTTTTAATCAGACTAAAAGGCATCAGCCTGTTTTCTGATCCTGCTTACCCAATTACAAATCCAGTAAGAACAATAAAGCTAAATTAACCCACTAAATCATTTAGATTCATATAAGCCTTTCCAGTGTTATGAGATCATCTGAGCAGGGGAAAAAAAATAAAGCATGATTTATTACTCAATTAAAACAGCAGATTTAAAGCTGTTATTTTTCTCCAGTCAAATTAGAATAAATTAGCTCAGTTTACACTTCTCAACAGCATATTACATTTATAAGCACTTTTAAAATTACATAAAAAAAACATACTCCTCAGCAACTTAGACAACTTTTATTGTCATTTTGTATACACAGAGCGTATACAAACTCTCGAGGAAATAGGTTAGAAACCAGCAGTATTATTGATGCGTTGCACTATTTTTTTTGGTTCAACTGCACCATATACCATGGCTAATGTTTGTTGTATTGAACTAAACATGGTTTAAAAGGCTGTTCTTAGCTGTTTTAATGGGGCCTTGATGTTGATTGGTAAGGTCACAGAAACGAAACACAAATGACTGCATGCTGAAACCATTTTTAAATACATCAAATAAAATGTACAATATGATACTCTGATCCATTTTAATATAAAGGGGAATAAAGACTTTATCTACTATGTACTCCCGGTTCAAATATTTCAAACTTGAATGCATTTTAGATATGTTGCTGTAAAGTGTGGAAGTACTAAACTACTTTTTGCCCCCCCCAAAAAAGACTAAAAGGTTGATTTAGGGAATAAGACTCAGAACAAACTTTGTACTAGAGGGTTACTCTAAGTTTTCTCAGGCAAAATAAGCAACTCTTCATGTTAATGAAAATCAAGGTGATACTGTAGGTGACGACAACTTTAAGCAAAAAGATGGAGGATTGGCAAGTTTTACATTGTAATAAAACCTCAACAGAAAATCAGAGCTTAAGCGACTTTATTTATTTATTCATTCATTTAAACACCGCTTGTGTTGCTCGTTTGCTAATTTACCTTCTTTTCTGCCACATTTGCTCAAAGGCATCAGCCAACTCCACATTGCTGATTTCCTCAGAGTCCTGGAACTTCAGGAAGCCGTTACCGCCATGGCCTAGTGATGGAAGCACATCCCAAAAAAAAATGATTTTATAAAAAAAAAAAAAAACATCTTTATGAACCATGTGAGTAAACTGTTTTTTTTTTCTAAATGAAAAACAATCAGTTCCCACAGCCAGCAGAGGCACTTAGTATTACATAATAGATATCTAACTTTAGTTCTCTAATTTGTTTAAAACTTTATCCAAAACTAAACATTTTAATTTGTTAAAATGCATCTAAAGAAAAAAAAAAACATAGTTCGACAAGACCTAGACACAACAATGCAACATAGCACCAGAGTTTTTGTACTGATGTGAGGACCTGTTTACCCAGCATCAAGTTAACCTCTGCTGTCTTTATAAACCCAAATTAATTCTGACTAAATGGAAAATAACCTTTTAGGAAAGAGCAGACAAGACATCCCCCACAATACCTGTAATGTATCCCATCTAAAAGGCCAGCCAATTACATGTCTGGACTAATTGAAGCTTTCCTCCAAATAATGCAAAGCAGTCTCCTTTTCCAGCTCTGCTGTGCTTCATTGACTTTGCATGATAACTAAAAGCCATTTAGCATATTGGCAGAAAATTTACTTTAATGTACATCAAAGAAAAACAAGTGTTAATGTGGAAAAGGGCACGGAAAAACTTCAATCATTACATACTGAAATCTTAAAGAAACTTGAAGAACGTTTACAGGTTTTAAGTATTAAGTTAAAAACAAATCTGGCTTTTCCTGGCTGTCACCAATTTCCTGTTTTATTTGACTTTAGAAGTCCACATTCTAATGTTGATTCAGTTTTCTCCTTTTTGCCCTCACATGAGAGAGTGTAATGTGGATTGTTGGACAGAATTCATAATTTTAAATGCAACAGAATGTGAAGGAATATCATTTAATTTCTCAAGGGATCACCCCATATGTTGACACATTCAGTGCTCTCAATAAAAGTGGGAGTTCTCAGATTTAAGGTAATTAATAGATCACAGGAAAAGAACAGATTTTATAGGATTTGACCTGTTGATTATTGACCATAGATGTATCAAGTTAGGATAAAACAGAGTTAAGAGTTAAGGCAGTGTTTCCCCAACCTGGGGTACGCGTACCCCTAGTGGTCTGCGAGTGCATTGCAAGGGGTACCTGAGAATATTTCATTTCTTAGGCAGTAAAATAAAATAGAGCTGGGATTTGTTTTGCTTTGTTAGGGCCCAATTGAAAAATTAAACAAGCTTTTATCAATCAATAATTACATTTTTCTTACATGTTTGAGTTCATCTTGAGTTTTGACACACATCAGAACCAAGCAGAGGAACAGACTGCATGTAGAGAACAGTCTGGCTGTTTTTCACACTGAGCTAACGGAGCTCATCAAACCTGCTGAGGTGTCTTGATGAAAACAGAGTAAAACTAATTAATTTATATAGTTAATTAAACTATAATTTATGTTCTGTGTTTTGTTCCAAATTCATCAATTTTAAATGTGATTGTAAGGGAGTTAATCAGAGGAGCTCCAGTTTTATAAATAGATTTATAATATGATTTTATTTTGTTTTTAAGTCGATTCCTTACTGAATTCCAGGCAACATTATTTAATAATTTTTTTTTAGATGGAAAGCAGCGTAAAGTTAAATAGTTTTTATTTCGGATATTATACATTCCATTTTTGGACAATCATCAAGACTTTTGACTGAGAGGACGACTCGTGGTGAGACAAAATGCCAAAGGGGGTACATATGTCAAAAAGGTTGGGAAACACTGAGTTAAGGCATGTAACTGCCGTGCAATCCAACATGCATGCAGTTTAAGGGACACTTGTTCATTTCACAGCACAGTGCTTCGTATGACTTTTTTTTTTTTGGCTAAATTTAAGTATACAGGATGAAGCAAAAAAACTGAAACGGGTCAATCAGCACATTCTCAGATGTGGTGCTGCAGCACTTACTGTGAGGAAATAAGTATTTGAACACCCTGCTATTTTGCAAGTTCTTCCACTTAGAAATCATTGAGGGTTTTGAGATTGTCATCGTAGGTGCATGTCCACTGTGAGAGAAATAATATTTTTTAAAATCTAGACATCGCAATATATGATTTTTAACTAACCATTTGTATGACACAGCTGCAAATATATATTTGAACACCTGTCTATCAACTAGAATTCTGACCCTCAAAGACCTGTTAGTCTGCCTTCAAAAATTTCCACCTCAACTCCAGTTATCATCCTACATTAGATGCACCTGTTTGATGTCGAAAGCTGCATAAGGACACCTGTTTACCCCATCCTATCAGTGAGAATCTAACTACTAACATGGTCAAGACCAAAGAGCTGTCCAAAGACACTAGAGACAAAATTGTACACCTCCACATGGCTTGAGAGGGCTACAGGGAAATTGCATAACAGCTTGGTGAAAAAGGTCCCCTGTTGGGAGTATTCAGTAGAAAATGGAAGAAGCTAAACAGGACTGTCAATCTCCCTCGGACTGCGGCTTCATGTAAGATCTCACCTCGTGGAGTCTCATTGATCCTAAGAAAGGTGAGAAATCAGCCCAGAACTACACAAGAGGAGCTGGTCAATGATGTGTCAAGAGTTTGGACCACGGTTTCCAAGGGTACTGTTGGTGACACACTAAGACATCATGGTTTGAAATCATACATGGCACGGAAGGTTTCCCTTCTCAAATCAGCACATGTCAAGGCCTGTTTTAAGTTTGCCAATGATCATTTGATGATCCAGAGAAATCATGGGAGAAATTCATGTGGCCAGATGAGACCAAAATGGAACCCGTACTCATACTCGTACTCGTCGTCTCCTGCTTTATCCAGAACCGGGTCGCGGGGGCAGCAGACTAAGCAGAGACTCCCAGACTTCCCTCTCCGCAGACACCTCCTCCAGCTCTGCTGGGGAAGCCCTAGGCGCTCCCAGGCCAGCCGAGAGACGTAGTCTCTCCAGCGTGTCCTGGGTCGTCCCCTGGGCCTCCTCCCAGTGGGACGTGCCTGGAACACCTCCCGAGGGAGGCGTCCAGGGGACATCCGAAGAAGATGTCCGAGCCACCTCAACTGACTCCTCTCGATGTGGAGGAGAAGTACCAAAAAGGAACCTTTGGTCATAATTGCACTGACCGTGTTTGGAGGAAGAAGAATGATGAGTACCATCCCAAGAACACCATCCCTACTGTGAAGCATGGGGGTGATAGCATCATGCTTTAGGGGTATTTTTCTGCACATGGGACATGGTGACTGCACCGTATTATGGAGAGGATGATGTATAGAGATATATATCTCTATACGGGCCATGTATAGAGAGATTTTGGGAAACAACCTCCTCCCCTCCATTAGAGCACTGAAGATGGGTCGAGGCTGGGTGTTCCAACATAATGACCTGAAGCACACAGCCAGGATAACCAAGGAGTGGCTCTATAAGAAGCATATCAAGGTTCTGGTGTGGCCCAGGCAGTCTACAGACCTAAACCCAATAGAGAGTCTTTTGAGGGAGCTTAAACTCAGTGTTTATCAGTGACAGCCCGGAAACCTGACTGATCTAGAGAAGATCTGTGAGGAGGAGTGGGCCAAAATCCCTCCTTCAGTGTGTGCAAACCTGGTGAAAAACTACAGGAAACGTTTAATTTCTGTAATTACAAACAAAGGCTACTGTACAAATATTAACTTTGATTTTCTCAGGTGTCCAAAAACTTATTTGCAGCTGTATCATACAATAGTTAAAAAATATATATACCGTATTTTCACGACTATAAGGTGCACTTAAACGTCTTTTTTTCCCTCAAAATGTGCGGTGCGCCCTTTGGTGCGGTGCGCCCTATGTGTGTTGTAACTGCGACTTTTGAGACCACCTCATTGAGGAGATGATGAAAGAGTGGCTGAATGTAAGGAGACCAGGTGTTTTTTTTTCCACTCATCACCATCGCTGATAAACTGTGACTCCATGCGTGCCCATCTCACAGCTGATGTGAAAAACATGGTGAAACAAATTAAGCTGTGCTTGCTGTTATTCAACCTCTCGACATCTGTGTGAACCGGACCCAGCAGGTGCAGCAGAAGCAGCGTGTTTACATGCAAAGTCAATGGTTGACGCGCGTATAGACGCAGCAAAAGGTCCCGCAGCGCGTTTTGAGCAGCAGGCACAGCGCGTCGGGAGCGTTTAAGCATCTGCCAACGCGCTGCTGCTGCTCCAGATGGAAAAATTTAAGTTTTGCTGCTGGACGCGCCGCATCAACCAATCAGAGAAGCTGATCTGGGAGCTGACAGCGAGACAGACACATCGCTCTGATGACATATGATATTAAGGCAAATGAAAAAGGCTGGATGGATGAGGAGATGATGAAAGCACGGCTGAGGCAGGTGTATGTGAGGACACCAGGTGGTTTTTTTCCACGCATCACCATCGCTGTTAATCTGTGACTGCGTGCCCACCTCACAGCCGATGTGAAAAAAAGGTGAATCAAATGAACGCTGTTATCCCAGGGGGTCTGACAAAGGAACTTCAACCGCTCGACATCGGTGTGAACCGGCCGTTCAAAGTAAGGCTGCGAGTGGCGTGGGAGCGATGGATGACAGACGGAGACCACAGTTTCAGGAAAAGTGGAAGGCAGCACCGGGCAATTAACACCACAGTTTGCGGACGGATTGTAGATGCTTGGACTAACGTGTCTGCTGGCTCTGTTGTTCAAGCTTTCACAAAAGCCGGCATTATTTCTGAGGAGCCGCGCTGCACGGAAAGTGACTCTGAAGAAGGGGATATTGGCATGTCTGATTTAGCGCAGCTGTTTAATTCAGAAACAGAGGATGATGACTTTGATGGGTTTGATTAATACTTTGTAATAAATACTTGAATAAAGCACAAACATATTCAGTTTTGCTCCCGCTCTATTTTTCTACCTGAAAACTTAATTCAACAGCAGCCTCTGGGCGGGTCTCCTCCTCTTCACCGCGGTAGCTGGCAGGTGTTTTTTCATCTAAATAATCTAAATCTTGCAGCTATATTTGCTGTGATCAGTGGGAATAAAGTAGTTTTAATATGTTTTTAAGTGAGAAAGTCCACCTGAAAACTTCATAATTGCAGTCAGTTCATCCAGATTATCTATTTCTGTCGGAGGCGCTCAGACCCCCACATACCAGCGGTACACCGACAGTAGAAATCCCTTCAACAGCAGCCTCTGGGCCGGGAAGCCTCCGGGTTCACCGCGGTGGCTGGCAGGTGTTTTTCATCTAAATAATTTAAACTGCAGGCACCAGGATACCGGTAATAAAACCAAACATATTCCGTCGGCAGGTTTCAAGATTTTAAGTTAATTTAGGAGTGATCACAGCTCTGTCATCTGCGATGTGTCTGTCTCACGGCCAGCTGCCAGGTTTGATTAATACTTTGTAATAAATACATGAATAAAGCACAATCATACTCAGGTTTGGGCCCGCTGTATTTTTAAATACGCAGTAGAGGTATTTAAAGGTAGTAGAGGACATGTACCTGTATATAAAAAACGCGCCCTATAGTCCGGTGCGCCTTATGTGTGTGTTAAATACAGAAATGGGACACATAACTGGGACTGCGCCTTTTAGTACGGTGCGCCTTATGGTCGTGAAAATACGGTATGTGATTTCTGGATTTTTTTTTTATGTCTCTCACAATGGACATGGACCTATGATGACATTTCCATATCCCTCCATTATTTATAAGTGAGAGAACTTGCAAAATAGTAGGGTATTCAATTACTTATTTTCCTGACTGTAGATGTGAAAGCTAAAGGGGATCTCACAGCAGGTGGAAATCTGTGCTAAATTTCAAGCATCCAGTGGCGATTCTGAAGAAAACTTCATGTAATGAATCCTATAAAAAACAAACAAAAAACATCCTGAAAGCTCTTAAAGTGGCATTTTTGAACAACCAGTGGAGAAGTAAGAAGGACAGAAGTTAAAAATATATAAAATTTAAGTCTGATTTGTTCATATTCTAGTGACATAAATAAATTTTTTTATTTATGGCTTTTAATCATGAAATGCTTTTAGTATTATATAATTAATGTTTGTAGAAATGCTTAAAACCTGTTTAATAAAAAAAATTACAAAGAGTTACAGGAATTTAAACTGCATCAGAAGCTTCAGAACACATTTCATTGTGCAAAATATTAGCATTTTAATGTGAACAAAACGTTATATGTGAAAGGTGTAACTGCTCATCTCTTCAAGAGCAGGACCCTCACCCTGTCCAAAGTAGGACTCTTGCACATAGCATACTACAGACCTTATGAACAACTTTTTTTTATTGGTCAAAATCACTTAAATTTAAAGTTAACTGCTGTAATCTGTCATTCTATTATTAAGCAATGTAAATAGTTATGATCCCGTTGAATATTAGAGTGTGGCCTCAGCATGAAAATCTGATGTTGCACGCAGTGATCGTTGGTGAACTCAGGGGGGGAAATTAGAGGGAACATTGATCAGAACCTGTCATTTAAATCACATAAAGCGGTTTCGACAATTTCCTTCTTTCATCTCCGGAATAATGCAAAAATTACAAATATCTTATCCTGGGGTGATGCTGAGAAATTAGTCCATGTATTTGTTACTTTAAGGCAGGACTATTTTAATTCTTTACAATCAGAAAGTCAACAAACTGAAGCTAAAAGCCTCCAGCGGACCCAAAATGCTGAAGCCACAGTTTAATGAAAATTTAAAAACGAGATCATATTTCTCCCATCTTATCTTCTCTTCATTGGCGCCCTGTCAGATCAAGAATGGAATTTAAAATCCTATTTCTCACATATAAAGTCCTAAATAACCAAGTCCCGTCTTATATCAGAGATCTTATTGTTCCTTATGTTGCTAACTGAGCGCTTTGCTCTCAATCTGCAGGTTTACTTGTTGTTTCTAAACTTTCTAAAAGTAGAAGAGGAGCCACATCTTTTAGTTATCAGGCTCTTCTAATGCCAAGGACCAGTTTTAGTCCGTGAGGCAGACACAGTATCTAAGGCAAAGCTTAAAGCTTTTCTATTCAATATAGCTTATAGTTAGAATGTCCCATGTTATCCTGAGCTATCTTTATAGTTCTGTTGATATAGGCTTAGAGTGCTGGAGGACATAGGGACCACCTTACATCATTCTGTTTTATTCTATCTCTATTTTACAATTCAGTAGTATTATTTGTTAGTAGTAATATTTGTTTACTCTGCTTGTTCTTATCATACTAGCTTCAACTGTCCGTTCCTGATTGGGTTTTTCTTCTTCACTGTCACTGCTTGCATGCTCGGTGTGAGGGATTGCTGAAGAATGAATAACCAAAAGCAAGTGAATATCTGATCTACATGCTCATCCAGGAGGAGTGTATCCTGCAAAGTCAATGACATGATGCATTCAATTGATTTTCTATATAAGGAAAACCAGCTGATTGCATCAAGTCATTTAATTTTTTCCCCATTCTTGAAGTAACCATTTTCTATTCTATGTTTTTCATATAATTTATTCAAAACATAAGTAGAGATAATGAAATACCAGTGAGGTATATGAGGATGTTGCTTCGGTCGTCAGACAGGAGGCGTTTGGAGCGAGGGGTGCTGGGAGGAAGCCGTCCAGTCAAAACCCGCAGAAAGTTCTCTACAGTCACCTGAAACAAACAGGAAGCTGATTTTAAGCTGTATTTTAGATTGTTCATTCCATTTTGGTAAACATCTAAAGCCGGGGGTCTTTAAGTCAAGTCCTCTAGGTCCAGTGTCTTGCACCATTAAGATGTGTCTCTACTTCAACATACCAGAGTCAAATAATCCGGTCATTAGTAAAACTCTGGAGAACTAAACTGAGGAGGCAGGTTGGCTATTTGATTCAAGTGTGTGTGAAAAGACACATCTAAAAAGATGAAGGACATTGCACCTCGTGGACCAGCATTAAAGACCCTTGATCTAAAGCTTTAAGCAAACATTAACAACACATGTATATCAGCTCACATCTCAATCATGAAACATTATTATTTTAATAACTGTTTGAGGCTAAAACTTCAGAACCAATGTCTGCCATTTTAGCCATTTTTGCGCGTTGTCTAACTCCTCTAAAGAGGCAAATTTCCTCCCGCCATTAAAATAAATCACAATATACTTAATTTAATATGCTTAATTTTTAATAAGTAAAAAAAAAAGATAATCTGCAAATATTAAACTGCTTCAATTATGGACAGTCTAATTATACCATGAAAAAAAAACTGAATTGTATTTCCATCTAAAACAGCGGGTTCTAAGTATTTTTTGGCTTAGAGGTATAATGGAGGATTTTCTTAAATCCTCGATTTTTTTCTTTAAAGACCTGCCCTCTCCACTTAAAAAAAAAAAAGCTCATGCACAACCCTGTACCCACTCCGGAAAGGGAACGCATATCAAACGCATCCATCGCATTCGCGAGCCCCTTTCTCCTCGTGCACGCTCTGTTTAAAAGTTGTTGTTTGCTTTGCTCATTCAAGCTTACTTTCCAAAAGATTTGCAATTTTTCCACTAGGTCAGACTGACCACCGGTAAGTGAAAATGGGGACGAGCACGTAGCAAGGCCTTACATAAGCATATCACCTCAATGATTGGCAATTAGGAGGACCACTTATTTTGATAATCCACCCAGAAAAAGAACATCCTCCACTATAGCTTTAAGTAATCGAGAGCAAATATGAAGGGTTGATAGAATAAAATCCAGGCTTAAGAAATCTAACTAAAGTCTTAGAGACAAAGTTTAACAGCACATAGGTAAACTAACCTCATAACCACGGTAATCCACCTCAACATCGTCCCCGTACACATTTAGCTCCATGTTCTTGTGGCTAAACACTGTAGCCGGTTTGGGGTTTCTGTGGTTACAAGCCATGTCGTCAGCCAGCATCAGAACTATATGACTGTGAAAAATAAAAACAACAACGACAACTACATTAATACATTCAAGAAAAAGTAATAAATACAAGTCAAACATTTTTTATGTTTCTATTGATGGCAAAATATTGCAGTTACTGAATCTATTTCTGCATTTAGGCAAGAGTTTACTTTGTACAAAGAAAATGTGCAATAAATTCAAAAATAATAGTAATAAACCTTAACTATACAAAGCATGTAGGCAGCATAAATTAAATATCCCTCCCTATGCATACACAGACCCTAGTTGAGTTTATGTGGCACTAGCACAAAATTGTTCATATCTACCTTTAAAAAAAAAATACGATTTCTTCATAAGCTTGGTTATTTCAAAAGTTTGCTGTTTAAAAAAAAAAGCGTAGAAGTGAATATATAAAGGAAATATTATAGCAGCTTTTTAACCATGGTTTAGATTCAGGTCTGGTGTCCAGTGGGAACAACAAACATGGAGAAGAGTTCCTGAACACCTGACTAGCTTTCCATTGGATGGATCGATCGTGTAGAAGAGCAGCTCATAAAACTAGATTATTTTTAAAAAAGTCTAGATTTTTAGTCAACCTTAATGCCAACTTTATTTATATAGTGACACCTCTATCCAAAGTATTGTTATAAACAATGTAATACATAGAAAATATGAAATACACATGAAGTAAGAAATACTGTAAATAATAAAAGCAAAAATACTAAAAGTAAAAAAAGAGTTTAGCATTTTCAGTAAAAGACATTTTCTTTCTCCAGAAATAATTTAGATTTTTTTTTTCCAGCATGCCTTATTTATATGTTTCTTTGATTCATTTTTAAAAAAAAATTTTAGCAATTGTTATGGGGCTGGGCTCTCTTCATGAGAGAGCTCTCTCTTTTGTGTTTCAGCTCTACCTGGCTGTTACATGAGCAATGTGTTGAACCTCGTCAGCCACACCATAAAGACTTTCAAAGCTGAGATGTCAGGCCCCTTCTTTCTCTTATTCCCTGGGCCTTGATATGAAGTGATCTTGTCTGTGAGCTGAGTGTTAATGTGTGATTCATGTTGAATAAATGGCTAACTAAAGCATTTTTCTGTCCACAGAGGAAGCTGGTTGGGGTTCTCTGCCATTTTTAGTGCGACAGTGGCGTCGGATGTAGGAGTTGGCCCTGAAATCGAAGGATTGACGGTTCAAGCCTCGGCTCCGACTTTCAGTGTCGTTGTGTCCTTGGGCAAGACACTTCACCTGCATTGTCTACTAATGGTGGTCAGAGGGCCCGGTGGCGCCAGTGTATGGCAGCCCTGCTTCTGTCAGTGAGCCGCAGGGCAGCTGTGGCTGTCTGTATGAATGGGTGAATGACTGAATGTAGTGTAAAACGCTTTGCTCAAGCCTCCTGACTTGAAAAAGCGCAATATAAGTACAGGCCATTTACCATTTATACCATTTTTGTTTAACTGTTTTCTCCTTGTTTTGTGGTTAGCCAGGGAGTTCAGGTATTGTGCTTTCTTTTCAGTTCTCCTTTAGAAAGTGGCTTATTTTATAACTAAGTAAGGGGGTGTTTTGTTTGTTGTTTTGGCCTTGGAGACTCAGAGTTAATGCTTCCCTGTGTTTTGCTGTCTGCTGTATTTTTTAACTCCTGGATATTGTGAAATTACATTTTTCTACTGACATCATCTTTTGTTACTGACTTTTGTGTTACACTCAGTGCCAGAATCTATCTTTAGTGGTCTTACGTGGGGGGGTTGTAACAACATCACATGTCAGAAGTTCCTAAACTTAGCAGTACCTGTCAGGGATGCCCAGCCTCTTTACGCTCCTGTAGACGGACAGTGAATTGGCCACATGCCGGTAGTTGAACCAGAACCTGGAGGTACACACCTGTTTGAAAGAAAACTGGTCACATAATCAGGAAGGATTCGAAGAAAACCATACATCTTTATGGATAAATACTGACCAGAACAGCCCAGTTGTTTGTATGGCCGCTGCTGAAAAACTGGCCGGCTGTTTTCTTAAAAGAATAAAACACAAAACGTCATTATTTTTCGTTAATTCGTTTAAAGTATGAGATTCATGCAGCAGTGACAGACATCATAAGCTAACCGGAAGCGAGTAATCTGCTACTCAAAAATACAGAAATACAGCAGGGAATTCAAAGCAAGGTATAAAACCACATGCTCACCTCAATATTTGTGCAGTCGGTAACCAAATATGCTACAAAAAGGCATAGTAAACTGAGTATTTTCATTGTGCTAAGATAACAACACTGCCTGGAAGTGCAGGAAGTAAAGAGCTACCCGGATATTACTTCCTCTGGGAGACATTTCAAAATAAAAGCTCACACCTGGCAAAGAAACAATTTTTAACGAACATCACTTTATCTGTTTGCATAACAAAATAACTAGGAGCTCCACAAGTCAGAGTTTAATTTTAAGTAGATATATGCATCCATAAACTGAGTTTGATTTGGATAACTTCTTACAACTGTTGTCAGCAAAGGTGTCAAAAGCATTAATATTACTTAAATAAATCCTATTTAAAAGAGCATCAGCTTAAGCTTTTCACTCAACTAAAATTGTAAAAAAAATAAAAAATTTTAAAACTACTTAAAGTATAAAAGTAAAGGTAATGCCAGGAAAAAATATGTTAGGGACAGAAGTTTCAAATCTCTGGTTACTGAACTAATCCATTAAAGGAACATTATAATTCTGGATGATATCTTCCTTTATTTAATTTTCTCATTTTTATAACTAATGGCAAGACTGTCAAATTTAATTAGCATAATCTAAAAAATAAAAATTATAAATCAATCTTTGTCAGTTGTTAGTATGTCACAATAAATAAGAACATAGCAAAAAGTTAATTTATTTGGTTCACTAAGTTGAGCGTATATAACATGCAATCTGCATATAGGCTGATGTAAAAAGCTCGGGCTAAACATGTCATGGGAGACTAGGCCCAGTTGAAACAAGGGACATTTGCACTAAATCTTTTTTTTCCTCCAATCAGAAACATCCTGTATTTATGTTGATACTGCAGTAATGCTCAGTAGGACCCTTCTAACCGACAGGACAGAAGACTCGTATAAGAATTTCTTCTAAATTTATTGAAAAGAACAAGTTTTTTTTTTAAGGCTGGAAAGTACATTTTTAATGCCATACTGTCCAGCTGTAATTGCCAGGGTAATTTGGGATATTTAATAAAAGTAGCATTTGAAAAAGTTTTAAAGTCTTATTGTTTCATTACGGGATTTCTGTATGAGAGCCCAATGTTACAGATTGTTTTAATCAAGTTCTATAAACAATACAACCTCCCAGAGCAATTTGCTAATTGAGACAAAAATCAAAAGTTGATTTGTGAAATTGAATGAACTAATGACATGTAGAAACTGTCCCTGAGAGGTGTTGCAACCGTCCCAAGGATAAGGTCGGTTACAACAGTTTAATTGTTTTTGATTGTTGTTTTCCAATTTAATATACATAGATTTGGGCTGAAGATCATATCCAAATATATATAGCAGGGAATTCATATATATATATATATATATATATATATATATATATATAATATATATTCAATATATTCAATATATATATATATATATATATATATATATATATATATATATATATATATATATATATATATATATATATATATATATATATATATATATATATATATATATATAATAATACATTTTATTTCAAGCGCCTTTCAAAACACTCAAGGTCACTGTACATGTAAAAACAATAAATGGTAAAAAACAGTCGTCATAATTAAAAGAAACAACACAAATTACACAAAGGAAAGTAATATAAAATCATAATGAAAAGGCAATCTTGAACATGTGGGTTTTGAGTTTGGATTTGAATACGGGTAAAGACTCGGTATTGCAGATGTCAGAGGGGAGAGAATTCCAGAGTGTGGGCGCGGAACGTGAAAAAGCTCTGCTCCCCATGGTTTTAAGACGGGCTGAAGGAACAACTAAGTGAGTGGTAGAAGAAGATCTAAGAATGCGGGAGGGAGTAGAAATTTGAAGTAAATCAGAAAGGTATGGAGGGGAGAGATTGTGAATAACTTTAAAAGTAAGTAGGAGGATTTTGAACTGAATTCTATACTTCACAGGTAGCCAGTGGAGCTGCTGCAGGACTGGGGTGATGTGATGAAAAGAAGGGGTTCTAGAAATGATGCGAGCTGCTGAGTTTTGTACTGACTGAAGCCTGTGAATGGATTTTTGAGGAAGACCGAAAAGAAGAGAATTACAGTAATCAATGCGGGAAGTGACCAGACTATGAACAAGAGTGCAGGTGGAGCTAGTGGAGAGAGAGGGGCGAAGGCGATTGATATTGCGTAAGTGAAAGTAAGCGGAACGGGTAAGGTTGTTAATGTGAGAGGAGAAGGACAAGGTACTATCAAGGATGACACCCAGACTCTTGACCTGAGGTGAGGGGGAAATTATGGAGTTGTCAAATGAAAGGGAGAAACTGTCAGCTTTGGATAAAGTAGATTTTGTTCCCACTAAGAGGATTTCGGTCTTGTCATTATTCAGTTTAAGAAAGTTGGAGGTGAACCAGGATTTTATTTCGGTTAAGCAGGAGATTAATGAAGGAGGTGGGAGTGAAGAGTTTGGTTTACAAGAAAGATAGAGCTGGGTGTCATCCGCATAACAGTGAAAATTGATGTTGAATTTCCTAAAGATATTGCCAAGGGGGAGAATGTAGATGATAAAAAGTAGGGGTCCTAGAACAGAGCCTTGGGGAACACCGGTGGTAACTGGAGAGGAGTTGGAACGATATGACTTAATCTGAACAAACTGAGTGCGGCCAGAAAGATAGGATTGAAACCAGGCTAGGGGAGTGTGAGTGATGCCAATTGTATAAAGTCGATGGAGTAGGGTAGAGTGTGAAACTGTGTCGAAGGCTGCACTTAGATCAAGAAGAATGAGGATGGAAATTAGACCAGAGTCAGCTGCTATTAAAAGATCATTGATTATTTTTAAGAGGGCGGTTTCAGTGCTATGACGGGGACGGAAGCCAGACTGGAACTGTTCATAAAGGTTGTTGTGAGTTAAGTGAGAATGAAGTTGAGAAGCGACTGTTTTTTCCAATATTTTTGAAATAAAAGGTAAATTTGAAATTGGCCTGAGATTATTGTAATTGTTGGGATCTAGTCCAGGTTTCTTCACAATAGGAGTGATAATAGCAGTTTTGAAAAGAGATGGAACAATTCCAGAACCAAGAGAGGAGTGGATGATGGCAGTTATGAAGGGGAGGAGAGCGTGAAGGCAGGATTTAACCAGGGCAGACGGGATGGGATCAAGTGGGCAGGTGGAAGATTTAGATTTGTTGATAAAATCAGAAATATCGGAGAGGGTAGGGAGATAAAAGCTGCAAAAAGGCTGGCAGGGTGAAGGGGTTATAGGGGAAGGGGGTGACAGGATAGGAGGCAGGCACTGGTGAATTATTTTGATTTTATCATTGAAAAACTGCATAATCGAATTGCAGGCGTCAGTTGAGCATAGGTGGGGAGGAAGAGAAGCTGGGGATTTGAAAATATTGTTAAACACCAAAAACAGAGTCCGAGAATTACTTTCGTGTGAGGAGATCAGGTTGGAATAGTAAGTGGATTTAGTTTTAGTGATTAGTTCTTTATATTGAGTTATCTGAGTTATATACATTTCACTGTGAATTGTTAAACCGGTTTTCTTTTTAAGTCTTTCAAGTTGACGGCACTTAGCCTTCATGGTCCGGAGTTCAGGGGTAAACCAGGGGGCGGAGTGGGAAAAGGTGACAGTCCGGGATTTTGTTGGGGCAAGGAGGTTCAAAATATCATTTAAGCAGTTATTGTATTGAGATGTCAGTTCATCCGGTGAGGAAGAAGAATCCAGGATTAAAGTTCTTAGGATGTGTGAAGAGAGAGTGTCCAAGTTAATGTTCTTAATGTTCCGGTATGAAAGGAGCCGTGGGGTCTTTGCTGTGAAGAGACGAGGGGAAATGCTGAATAAAAGGAGGAAATGATCAGATATGTGGAGATCCTCAGCTGAACAGTTAGTGGGGGTAAGACCAGAGCAACAAATTAGGTCAAGAGTATGACCTTTAGAGTGAGTTGGAAAATTGGAAAACTGATCAAAACCAAAATTGTCCAGACAAGATAGGAAATCTCTGGCGAGGGGAAGGTTAAAATTGTCCATGTGAATATTAAAATCCCCCACCAATATTACATTGGGTGAGAGAGAGGAGAGAAGGGTTAGAAGATCTGTTAGTTCATTTAAAAAGTCACTATGTGGCTTGGGGGGGCGATAGACAGCCGCAACAATGGTAGGTGTGGGGCCAGAGAGTGTACAGGACAGGCATTCAAATGAGTTGTAGGAAGGCACAGTGACGGGAACCACCTTCCATTTCTCGTTGTAGAGTACAGCGAGACCGCCTCCTCGGCGCGTCACGCGGGGCTGGCAAAGGTAAACAAACCCGGGTGGAGTGGAGTCATTTAGTTGTGAATAGTTATTAGGCTGTTGCCAAGTTTCCGTTAAATATATATATATATATATATATATATATATATATATATATATATATATATATATATATATATATATATATATATATATATATATATATATATATATATATATATATATAAATAATAATAAATATATATATATATAAATAAATATATATAAATAAATAAATAAATAAAATATAAATATATATTTTGTCATAATGTTCTCTTCTTCCTACAGTAAACTCCTAGGGGTTCTAATTCAAAGTAGAATTCCAGATTAATTTAGCTGATTATGATCTGGGCCACAAAAAAGACAGACAACCCTAAATTCAAATACCCAGTATATCAGTAAACAGCTTTGTAATTTGGTCAAACGAATACCAAACTAAGGAGGTTGCTAGTGAAAAATTATGTCTGATTGCACTGTGTAGAGAACCAAATTCCTTTATGCAAGTCTAATGTGTCTCTACTGCAGCAGAGGGTCAGTTTGATAAGCATGCAGCATCAAAATCAGTTCTGAAAAAGAGCAGGGTGAATGCTTTTAGTGCACTGAAGGCTGCTCTAATTCCTGCTCCTGCTTCTGATGCTTTTTTACCCATTGCATTGCTGACGTTTCCCACTCACAGCTTATTATATCACAGTGCAACTTGTGAAGTGCATCTTTAACTAATGCCTTGGATTTTGTATAACTTTAAATTAGAGAGCAGTTAATAAATAGCAGGGTTAGCCTGTATAGCTGAAAAAAAAATCTTAATAATAGTGCTGGGGCAACTTACTGCTGTAAGACAATCAACCAATGCATACGATATGGTCCGTTGGTGGTTTTAAACTCTGACCTTCAAAGTGTTATGTGTATAAGGAAGCTTCAGGAGAGTAAGCCATCTATATTCAAGTAGTCAGTTACAAATAATACACGCAGGTGACTTTAACATATTTTAAAGAATCCCCAGTACTTATTTCTGAGGTTAAATTCAGGTTCCTTCCCATCAGATGGATGGTATCCATACTAAATAAAAACTATATCCAAGTTTTGCACAGTGAAGCTGAAAAAATTATAAATTTACACATATATTATTGTCTTTAAACAATTTGATTAAGTCTAGATCAACATGTTATAGCTTTAAAAGTTTGTGACATTGTCATTTAAAGCACCTGTGAGTGTATTTTAAGACATCATGGAAAACTGTAAGACATCAACCAGGATACCAGGAATAAAATTTGGAATCTCAACATCTCTTAATATTTCTAGACAGCTAAAGGTGCCATGTTCTGTTTGAGACATCATGGGAATGTCCAGCCATTATATTGTTTAGAAAAGAGACAAACTCCATGTCTCACATAAACATATTTAGGTTCAAAATGCTGGTATCAACCCAAGAACAAAAGCAAAAGACGTAAAGACACCTCAAATGCAATAACAAAGCCTGATGATGCTTGCAAATACCACCAAACACAAATGTGATTCATTTTGGGAGACATGGAGAACTGTGGTGGCACAGTGTATAAGTGTATGACCAAAGTACAGAGAGCTTGAAAAGGCTCTCACTAATTCAGATTCCAGCCCTTTAACTTTCTCTCTCCTCACTTTCAGAAAATAATACCGGTAATAAAAAAAAGGGCCACTAATGCCAGAAAAAGTCTTTAATTTTTGGGAATGGGGACATACCATGTCCTTTGGCACAGTTTAAATTGCATGTTTGGCCGTATTTGTAGAAGAAAGGTGCTTCAGCCTGAACACACCATGATCATATGTAAAGTAAGGTCTCAGACTCATTCTGCTGCAAGAGGGACTAGTGCACTTTAAAAACCAGATGGAATCACAAGGAAAGCAAAACATTTGGAGGCCAACCTCTAGTACACCTGATGAGAGTCAGAAAGTACGACCACTCACACCCATTCTCCACTACCTTCACTGGCTTCCTGTTTCTGCAAGGATTGAATACAAGGTCTCAATTCTCACCCACCAGTGCATCTATGGAAATGCCCCACTATACCTGAAGGAACTGTTCACCCCTCTCACTACAACCCAATCCCACCGCTCAAAACACTCAAACCACCTCAACCTCCCCAAGACTAAGCTGACTAAGTGTTTTAAAGCGATGTTTAGTTTTACATTTTGATTTTACCCTTCTATGATGATTTTACCTGTAGCACTTTGAGATTTTTTTTTTTATGTAAAGTGCATTACAAATAAAATGTATTATTATTATTACTACCTGTGAATGTGTTTCAAGGCCACGCCTCAACCGAACTGCTTGCTTGTGTGACAACATGAAAATACCTTGTCAAACCGGCCAAGATATAATGAGGATAATATTGAAAATCTATAAGTGGGGTTCTTCCTTTGGGCCAGTGTTCATAGGGTATAACTATTATATACAAGTTTAAACAGCTTGAAAATGTTCAGCAATCATAGCTAGGAGGAGGTTGATGCTGGTTCAAGTAGGAAAAAGAATGCCCCAATCCACAGTGGAATGAGTCCTGCTGCATATCCAAATAGTTTATTTTACTTTCTCCATAACAGCATGTGATTGGCTGGTCATTCTACAAAGCTACTGCCCATCAAGGCCAATCATCAGTAGTGTGATCCTTGAGACGGATCATTCCTACTTACAGAGTTGTATTCCGACCTCTTATTTTTGCTTGGGATTTTCATTCCTACTTACAGAGTTGTATTCCGACCTCTTATTTTTGCTTGGGATTTTCCTGTCATTCTGCATACATTCATCTGTGTCCCTTGTAGACATCCTTATCTCCAGTCCCTGGTTCTTTTTAGGGCCTCGGGAAATTGTCTCCTATAGGCCTTTTCAACCAATTACTTGAAGCTGAAGCTTAAAACGATGCTTTCAACAATCCTGGGTGTTTTTTAGATACTAGGAGCTGGCTCAGAGCCAACTCATTGCCACTTCACTGGGTCAGTGTGTGCGCCAAACAGACTGATTTCCACCAGAAATAAAAGCAGAAGAAGAAGACGACCGCTAGACAAACAAAGCAAGCAAGATGGACAAAGTTCTAGCAGCACATGTGCCATTCATTGCTGTAAGCATTTATGATTAGACGGTGACAAAATATGTCACTGTTGCAACTTTTAGCATCTGGCTAAGTCTTCACACTACACATGCTCCTTATATCACACTGTAAACTCCACCCTGAGGTATTTGGGCTTGGTAAGCTCTCCTTTGGCTCAATGAAAAAGTTGGTCACCACGTTCTGACTCCAGGAGCTAGAGCTTTCAGCGATCCAAAGCAAAAAGTACCAGCACCAGTCCAATTGAAAAGGCCTCCTAGTCGTCAGAATTTCTTGGAAGTCTTATTCTGGAAGTCCATACCCCGCTAATCCTCACCAATCCCACTGTCAGAACTCCTCAATACTCCACTGACACCAAATACTCTAATATTGCTTCCCTGCCATAACCATCTCTATCTGGAAACAAAGTATCTTCACTAACCAATACTCCGTTCAGCATTCTGTAAGAATTAGTTTTCTCCCGTTTCTCTTAATCCACACCATCAGATTCATAACTCGTTAACTCTGATAATTGTTATTGCTCATCCTCAGTGCCTTCTTTGATCACTATGCTGAGCCCCAAAGACACATTTACTTACCAATTTTTCCAATAAAATATTCAAATCTAAAACAATCCTTGGTTGTCATTTTTTTATTTTGGAGGGGGGTTTTGTCTGCACAAGTGTCCTACAACATGTCAACATGGCCCTTGGATTAATTTGGTTTCAAGGCTCCTCTGATAAGGAGAGGAGAATACAAGTTGAATTGCACTTTTAAGAAACATTATGGTACAAAAACTGAAAAAAAAATTCCCTTAGTGTGCAAAATACACTTTAAAAAATATTCAGTCTAAGAATCCAAAGTGGTTAAGAGAGGAAGTAAGGACCCGTGATGTCAAAATTACACACATTTGTTACTTAACTAGAAGTATAGATACTGCAGTTTAAAAGCACTCTGGTAAAAGTTGAAGTATAAACTTGACCTCTTTACTCAAGTAAAAGTGAAAAAGTATGTGCTCCAAAAACTGCATAGCTCCAAAAGTATAAAGTAAACTTTAAAAAAAAAAATGCCAGATGCCACTATATGAAGCATCTCCCTTAAATGAGTTTTTGGAACTTGGGATGTCTGAATAAGGTCCGGTGCCGTCAATCATTTTGGTATCGGGTGGTTTAACTATAGATTTTTTATTTATTTTTACCACTATTACATTAACAAAGAGACATCCAAGTCTACAATTGCATAGGGGGCCTACCAGGTGTCAGTGATGGGGCCCCCAAGAGGTCGGGGCCCCTTAACGGTAAAGTGTACAACCTATTTGGAGCTGCCTTATCAGAGGCAGGATCTCAGCTCTGCCCGGAAGTAAAGCACTCCACGTCCACCAGGGGGCGCAGCGTGCTCTCTCCTGCAAACTGAACCTGCAGCCGCTGTCAGCAGAACAGACGGTCCACACTGGAGCTGGAAGCGAAGCGCTGCGGGAGGCAAAACGTTCGAGTCGAGCCCATCAGAGCCACGCATCCTTAGCACTGAGAAGAAGCCGGTGCTGGAGGAGGAGGAGGAGGAGGGTGGACTCACCTGCACCAATCCAGTTGGGAAGTTTAAAAATAAAAGATAAACAACATGCGCTGAAAGGAGAGCTGTCACGAACTCTGTGCTTTATAAACCAGAGATACAGCCGAGGGAAAAGAAGGTGGGAAAAAATCCGCCTCCGACAAGTTTTTATCTATTTTTTTTTTTTTTGAAGCGGAGATCCTGGTGGAGATGAATACCAACGATGCCAAGGAGTATTTGGCACGGAGGGAGATACCTCAGCTGTTTGAGGTGAGAGATGGAGCTGACATGTTGTTCTCAACAAAACATGATGGATGTCTGAAGCAATGTGCACTGGAGAGTCAGAGCAGATCTCATGTGTCATATTTTACTGATGAAAACATAAATTAAAAAACATGTCATGTTGATTTGATGATCTAGACGCTGTTTTGAAAACTGTTCCTTAAATGTGTAAAGGTAAGCTATAAGCCATTTAAGTTATTGCATAGCTTTTTTTTTCATATCTTGGCATATAAATTTGGAAAGGAATGCTTTCTGCAAGAATGCACGCGTATTTTATTTACTAGATATTTGTGGCAATCTTATATTTTCACATTAAGTTCAGAGCTTGCAGGAGTATTGATAAAATATCCCCTCTTCCCTAGAGGATAGTCAATTAGCGCTCCCACTTAATTACAGTCAATTCTTACTGTGATGTGTGGCTAATGTATGCAAGCAATCAGTGCAATCACTGCCGCGTATTTGCTGTCAGTTTAAATTATGTTAAGCAGCGATGTGGCACATCATCATAACTACTATTTTGGTGCATACAGCTGAAGCTTATTTAGGCATTTTTTCCCCTTCATCATCCATCTATCATGAGTAGATGAAACTATTCTGGAGGCTTTGCAGGATGCCTTGGGGGCTGCAGACGAGAAGGGTGGAGATTAGGAAGGAAGTCCCTGAGGAAGGTGTTGTTTTGGTACTTTTATAGAGTTTATTTTCAGGTTTATCTCATATTGCATGTATTTCCTTTTATTTTTAAAGCAATAGACCTGCAATCAACTGCCTTGAATTCCCAGCCTGGGTCCAATCTCATAGACCCTGGAGCCCAAAGAGAAGCCGGGTTCTAAACTTTAGATATCGTTAGTTCCTCAGATCCTCTGAGCTCCAACAGAGCAACTTCCAACAATAACAATGAAGCAACAACGAAGTCTGAACCTCAACTTCTCCTTCTATATGTTTCCCACAGAGTCTCCTGACAGGTTTGATGTATTACCGGCCCGATGACCCTATTGAATACCTGGAAGGCTGTCTAAAGAAAGTCAGGGAGCTTGGTGGCACTGATAAAGTGAGGTGGGATACTTTTGTGGGCCAGGAGAGGAAGTCCCTTCCTCCACTCAATGGGGGACAGTCACGGAGGTCCCTCTTCAGAAATGGTGAGGCTACAAGAACAACACTGGTGAAAGTAAACGTCATCAGTAGCCTTAGCTGACCAGCTTGCCCTCTTTTCAATATTAATTTATCCACATAATAATAGAAATGCATTGAAATTTTTGTCACAAGCAAGTATTTTATTGATTGTCTGATAAACCAACACAAAGAAACGCCTTATGATAAAGGAATAGTTATACATGTTTTTCTATTTAGGATATTCAATTCAGTTTATTTCTATAGCGCCAATTCACAACACAAGTCATCTCAAGGCACTTTACAGTTCAACCAGATCATACAGTCAAATTGATTCAAGGTTTTCTATCTAAGGAAAACCAGTTGATTGCATCGACCCATTGACTCAAATACAATCCCTCACACTAAGCATGTTTGTAGCGACAGTGGAGAGGAAAAACTCCCTTTTAACAGGAAGAAACCTCCAGCAGAACCAGGCTTAGTGTGAGCAGCCATCTGCTGAGGCCGACTGGGGTTCAAGGAGACAGAAGCAGACATACAAACTATTAACTGATTTGAAAAAAATAGTGCATACATAGATATTCAGCCTTTATGAGTCAAAACTTTGTGTGACCACAGTTTGATAAAATTGTTACCGCAGATGTTTTTGGGTTGTGTCACAAACAGTTCTGGGTTCCGGGTTCAGTTTTGCTCTCACCAGAGCACTCTCTTTAACGCTTGCTGTGTTCTCCATATGGGTTGGCGGATTTTAACATGACTATTTATGGAGAACTCAAATTATTAGTTCTGTCAACAGATTCTTACACCTGAGGTGCGTATCTCTACAGCTCCTCCAGGGTTACCATGTGGCTCTTGCCTGCTTCTAAGGTTAATATTCGCCTTGCTCAGCATCAAAGGTGAAACACTGAAACTAAGTAAGTTTGGGGTTTTTAGTTTTCAGAGGATTAATTTAAATTACACAGTGCTCTGTGTCAATATGGTTGCATAAATTAACCCTGCTTTAAGTTTCCCCAAATTTATTCCTTTCATGTTATGTGCATTGCTTGATCTTCATGATGTTGTTTGCTGTTTAACAAATCCCACATGCCTTCAGATGGCTAGATTTATACTGAGACTACATGAAATACATTTGAATATAAAAAATAAAATAAATCCTCATCATCCAGTATGTGTTTTATCTTTTTCGAGAAAGCTAAAAGATCACCGGATGTTCTGCTCTAACGCAATCACAGGCAAGCCAGACCCGTATTTTAACAGCAAAGAAGGCTGACATTTTTACAGCACCTTAAGGAGTTTATTTGCAGATCCATTGTTAAAGCTGTTGTGTTTTTCTTTGAAGTACAGGAAGTAGAAGACTTTTAGAGTATAATAAGACGCTTTTTTCCTGCCAGCTCTAATGTGATGTGCGTCACCACTCTCACTCTCTGAAAAGTGCCATAAGTGAGACACCTGAGCTTTGGATGCAAATTGATGTGGGTTTTTCTTTTTTTTGTGTAGATAAACCATTTCCTGTTCAGAAACAGTATTCAGTGTGCTAACATGAATGCAATCTTTTCACTGAGCTGTTTCAGGGGATAAACCTGCATAGTTAATAATTAATCCATCTGTGAATATCAAAAGGTTGTCCATTCATTGGCCATTACAGTACAGTTGTGACTCTGTGCTGGTCTATCTGTTGCAAACAACCAGTGCATGCAAAACCTGGTCAAAATTGACTAATTGAATTTTTTGTTTGCAGTCTAATGGTATTTTTATTTGCGTTGCCCTTTTATTTTAACGTCAAACCTTCTCCTCTCTGTTTTTGAATTTTTAAAAATGCCACAGAAACAGGCCATGTGTGACTAAGTGAAACATTTACCTACGCTCACATAGATAATACCACAAAACTCCACAGAGAGAAAGAGATGGTAAAAAAAAAAAACAAGACAAACAGCGGTAGGCAGATATACGACTCAAAGATACTGCGATGAAAAAGCCTGAAAACATTGGTGGCTGCAGTGTTTAGCTGTGCACAGCAACTGACTGATGAGTGTTATTGATAAATGGAGCTCGTGACCAGAGCTCATATCTGCTGCTTCAACAGGCTGAAGAAAGGACACTCCCCTCTGATGTATTTCTTTCATTTTTACAAATCTTCTCACATTTGATTCTTGTTTGTAAGGGTCAAAGCAGCCAAAGAAAAAGTACATACACATTTTCCCCTTTCTTTTATAGACTTCTGTTCCTTAAATAGATCAACCTCACAATCAGAATTATCCTTCTTGCTTCAAATATTAAAGCCTGATGAGAAAGCAGTCATTTCTATAATTAATAATTTAGTTTATGTTTAGAAATTCATATTATCTTCAACCCTACCTGTATTAAGCTCCATCCGTGTTTCCCTTTAGTTGGACCAGTTTCTTTCTCACTTCAGAAGAACGGATTCCCCACAGGATGATCATGCCACCAGCTGTGGGATTTATATATATATATATATATATATATATTAGGGATGCACAATATAATCGGCCCCCTATCGGTATCGGCCTGTATCGGCCTTAAAACTGAATATCAGACATCGGCCACCCCACCGATATTTAACCCGATATTTGATCAGCTTCTGAGTTTCTAAAGTCTAAAAAAAAAAATATATACTACGTCTTCTTCTTCCTCAAAAACTTCTTTTTTAACAGACTTAAAAACTTCTAAAGACGAGGGAAAAAATATTGATACATTAAAATATCACAATATCTTCATATGCTGATATATTGCCATTTAAAAACACCATATCAATCTCTTTTACTAATGAAATATTGCTATATGTCATCGTTATGCTACGAAATCCCCACGAAAATTCACAAAATTTTGCCATATTTTTATATTTTGATATATTGACGTGGTATCGAACTATTTTACTAACAAAATCTCACAAGAATTTGCAAAATATCACGAGAGTTTGTAACAGAACAATGAATTTTCACGAGATTTTGAAAGTAAAATAGATCGATACCGCGTTTTTAAAAATCAATTTGATATCAGCATATGAAAATATATTTGAGTATATTATTTTTCAAAGTGTCAGAAATAGATAACAAAACTGCTATTTTCAATGTCTACTTATTTTTGTCCAGCTTTAACATCAGTATCGATATCGGTTATCGGCTACATGAGTTTTAAAATATCGGCATATCGGATATCGGCCAAAATCCCAATATCATGGATCACTAATATATATATTTATATATATATATATATATATATTTTTTTTTTTAGGGAATTTGGCATTCAGACAGTATGTTTTCCAGCATACACGTTTTGGCTAAAGTTCATTCAGTTTTAGTCTCACCTCTATCAATGTTTGCCTTGCTCTGGATTTTAGTTGGCCATAGTGCAGGAGAGAATCTAGATTTGTTGATTGTACAATAACTAGCTAACTATTAGCTGTCAAATGATTCTCCAACCTGAGCTGCAGATCTCTGCAGCTTCTCCAGAGTCAACATTGGCTTCTCAGCAGCTTCCCTGAATAATACATTGGTAGGTTTGCAGTTGCAGTTTCACTGCAAAATGCTGAAATATTAGTTATGATCCCTTGTTTAATCTTCTGAATAGCTACGTTCCTTGCCTTCATGATGCTGTTTCACCTGTACTGTTTTCCAACAACCCCTTCAGGCCTCCACAGATCAAATGGATTTAGTCCAAGTAGGGCTGCAACTGACGATTATTTAGAAAATGATTAATCTGTAGATTAATGTTTTCGATTAATTGATTGATAATTGGATAGCAAAAGGATCCTTCAATAAGACTCTTTACAAAATGTATTTAGGTAAAACTAAAACGATTCCCCTTGAGGAGTTCTGAATAGAGAATATACTTTTTTTTTATCTTAAATGCAAAATTTTTATATTTTTGTATGACTGCTCTAAGTTGGTTGTTGTGTCACCTACAGGCATATTTTGCAGACTCTAAGCTCCAGTTAACAATAAATCGATTACTAACTTAGTTGATGATTATTTCAATAATCAATTAATCATGATTAATCCAATTAATTGTTTCAGCCGTAATTTCAAGAATAAAGCACAAGCAGACGGACTCTGCTTATTGATTTTTAAGTCTTGGATAATAAATTTTTTTTCTTTTTGCTAAATACTATTTAATTCAATTCAGTTTATTTCTATAGCGCCAATTCACAACACATGTCATCTCAAGTCACTTTACAGTTCACCAGATCATACAGTCAAATTGATTCAAAGTTTTCTATCTAAGGAAAACCACTTGATTGCATCGACTCATGATTCAAAGGCAATTCCTCACACTAAGCATGCTTGTAGCGACAGTGGAGAGGAAAAACACCCCACTTTAACAGGAAGAAACCTCAAGCAGAACCAGGCTCAGTGTGGGCGGCCATCTGCCGAGGCCGACTGGGGTTCAAGGAGACAGAAGCAGAGATACAAAAAGCAGCTGTAAAAGGCGGCCCTGTCCAGGAAACACACAGCCAGGCAGACGAGCACCGAGCCAGCACCCATGTCAGAGGATGAAGAGAGCACATCCAGCCAGTCACAGTCAGAGAAACAGGACTACACTGAAAAACAGGCCTAAAATGATAACCTGGTGAATTGTATTTTTCTTGCTTTAACATTAGAAGACTCCATACATTTTCAGGTGCCTGAGGACGCAATATCCATATGCTAAAAAGGTTTTATACAGGTATAAACACTATGAGAATATCCAGACATTATGTTCCAGAGAAGAATGTGTTTTATAGTACAGTATGCATATTAAGCCAAAAAAAAACAGTACCAAACCTTTGAAGATGTCAACCGAAACTGTTTACAGAGAGAAAAAAGGAAGATAAATATTTAAATAAGATACAAAGATCTTACTATTTTAAGATCAAAATTAATGTGAATTGTTTATTTTTATGTTTCTGTTTTTCATCATAAAACAATGATTGTAAGATTTAGATGAATGACAGGGAGATTTTACAGCTACACTATGATAGTGTGTTATGCTGCAGAAGGGGACTGATGCACTTTACAGAATAGAAATCATTATAAGTGAAGAACACTCCAAGAAAACATTACAACAAATTTCCTTCCAATTAGTCAATTAAGTCAGTGTTTTGGAGTGGGCATCACCAAAAGCCTCGGTCTCAGTCCCATAAACCAAAATGTGAGCAGAGATTAAATGTGTTATGCTTTTGACCCATGTAATAAAGTTTAAATGCTGCAAAACACTTTGGAAATATATGAAAAATTATAAGTAGTAACAGCAACTGTCTTCTATTCTGTCAATGCTTATGTAAAAGAAACTAAAAGTATATTTAAATCAACGTCACAGAATGAGTAAAATGTTTCATAAACTTCTGTATTTATGGTTTACTTTGTGTTGGTCTATCAGTAAAATCCTAATAAAATGAAACTAGAGTTGGGGTTCTAATATGAAATATGCAAAACTTCAAATGTTTTGAATAATTTATTATTTTGGCTTTTTGCATTGAGGAAAGTAAAAGTACTGATCTAGCAGAAGTCAAATAAATTGTTTAAATATACAGCAGCAGCTCTTGATCGTGTGGAGCAGATTGCATCAGTGATTAATGTCTGTATTAACTGCATTAATGTTTTTAAAGTTAAATGATCAATGCTTTAATAAGAAAGCCCAGGATAATTACCATTCTTAACGAGAAGGCTATATGTGCATCTAAATTACTGTTAATAACAGTTCATCAATTCCTGAAGCCAATGACAGGAAAAATGTTGCTCCTTAAGACAAAACCCATTTGCTCATCAGGGCATCAGCAGAATGATTTAAAAGATTTGATTACATAAAATCTAATTTCTAACCTCTTGCTGTGTTTTTTTTTTTTTTTTGTGTGCCAGTGTTGCCCGACAGCCCCAACTTCCCCTACAGACGGTATGACCGCCTCCCTCCCATCAGCCAATTCTCCATTGAGAGCGACTCGGACCTGTCGGAGACGGCCGAGCTCATAGAGGAGTATGAGGTGTTCGACCCTTCCAGGCCGCGACCCAAAGTCATCCTCGTCATTGGTAAAGGAGCATTGCAAAACACCAACATTGAAAGTATACTTTTAGTCTGAGGGATTCATTGGGAGTTGTTGTTTTCTGTTAGATAAGAAGCAAATATTATAACAGTGCTGGTTTAATTTGTATTAAGGATATAAAACTGAATAGTGCTTTTCATTTGCTTTGCTGATCTAAAACTATGTGGTGTGGATACGAATCTATGACCTGGGATGGAGTGTGTGTCTGTTTCCTGGTATTCAAACATAACTCCGCCTCTCTCTGTTCATATCATCAGGGTAGATCTTGCTGTATGTCCCTCAGTGTGTTTGACACTCCTAATCTGATTTCCTTGGCGTGCCTGCTTCAGGCTGTCAAATAATCTCATTTATCATGATAATCACACATGCCTTTTCCTCAGCAAGAGTAGAAATCATAGTTTATCTCAAACATAACTTCAAGAGAGTTTTTATAAGTAAGTAAGAGAAATACTACTGTCTTTTCTTAGAGCTTTTTTAAAGTGGCCTTTGCTTTTATTGGGCTCTTTACACTCTTCATGGAGTGGCTGATAGGTGTTTGTCCTTGCAGCACAAAGGCAGTCTTCACCCTCCTTTTGTTAGCTCACTGCACCCTGGTTTTGAACAGAAAAGTAGCACGACAGTAACAGTCACCTCCGCAAATGATCATGCTGAATGTTTTCTCTGACAGGTTTGCATAGAGATGTTAGCTGTTTGGAGGATGTTTAGGCGTGACAGAGTCAGGAAGTACAAAATGCTTTCCCAAAAAAAAAACATCTCTATCTTTTTTATCATTTCCCAAGGAAAACAATAAATAGCCTCAAACTCTATCCTATGGCATGGAGGCAGATCTGTTGTCATTCCTGTTTCCAAAATCAGTGGTGCTAACATGAATACTTTAAAAGCTACTATCCTTCAGCTTTTGCATGCATCACTTTCTAAACACACCTCATTTGAACAGCTGAATTTCCTCATCAGCATTCAGCTCTGCAGAGGGTTGGTACTGAGCCACTGACATGGTGCAGGGGCCTAGGAAGGATGTATTTAATAGTTGCAGTATAGTAGTCCTTTTAGGACTAGACTTGGGTTCCCCTAGTCTAGATCACCAAGAGTCTTAAGAGTTTACTTTTAAGCTTTGTTCTGTTCAATTGAGTAGTTGATATGTTTATGGAGACTGAGATGGCCTGAAGGTTACCTTGTGTGTAGTAAACTGATTCTTCTTTGGGCCATTATATTACTAAAAGACCATATGATAGCTTTAGAGATATTCTGTATATCTTTATTCAAAATATCTTGGCAATTAAAGGCTTCTGCTAATAAATATCAGCTCAGATCTTGACTAATTAGCTGAATCAGATATTGTTGATTTGATATCAGGTATAGATAATGCAGTTTACTGTACTTTACATGGAAAAGTTTATTTTTTTTTAATTTACCTTTTTTTTTAACCATTGTTTTTGTCAATGCTAAAGCCTTCACTCACATGGCAAGATATATGGTTCATTCATTCATCAGTTAAATCAGAAAGGTATCGGATTGTGGCCGATACCCTCAGCCAATGTCTTTGTTTCAGATTGGATCAGAAAAAAACTGGACCGGTGCATCTTTAACTTCAATTAAATTTGGGTTTCAATATTGCTGTGTTTTAGGATCGGTTGTTGTTCAAAAGTGCAGCCTCCTGTTGTCATGCGGCTGCCTTCAACATAGGCTGCCCCACGGCTCGGTCATTTCTGCATTATTGCCACGTGACTTTGATGCTATATTTAGCACCTTTTTAGACCCCTCTAGCAACTTTTTTCAAGAAAGCAACTAGTAACTTTTCCCTGTGTTGGAGACATTGGTGAATACACATGGTAGGACTGATCGCTCAGTTAAATGTTTTCAGTTAATGAGCGAGCCCTTCAGCTGCAGCAGCTGTCTTCATTCAGAAAGCAAAGTGACCCGCCTCTATTTTGCAATCGAACATGAGCCACACATGCGCAAAGCTTGCAGTTAAGCCCCACAGATAAAAAAGAAAAAATATATGTAATATTTAGTACTGTAGTTCATTTAAAACTGTTGCAGTAAAGTGGAATAGCATGTGGGCGTGGTTTCCATGTGGGCCACCAGTGTCTCAGAGAAGACTTTAAGGGTCTGGTGTGGCCCAGCCAGAGACCTATTTAGAATCTGATGGATAGCCTCTCAAGGGAGCCAATAATTAGCGTTATATGGAAGAGACTTCATCATAAATTGATTTCTGCGTAGATATTTGACTGTTAATGAGTGAGAAGGGTGTAAGTCATTTTCAAGTGTTTTTTTTATATAAATTGTGAACAACTCATTTTTTAAATGTGTTATACTAATCTTAATACATATTTCTGAAAACAGTTTTGTTAGTTTAGTTAGAATTTATTGTCCTCTTAATTACCATTTCACTTTCAGAGATCCCTTTCATATTTCCTGTCAAAAACAAACTTTTTATTTAAATTAAAAATTATTTTCAATCTAAATGTGTCAAGGGTATGTATACATTATAATACAAACTTGTTCTTTAAAGGTTTTTATGCTACTTGATGACTTTATGAATGAGTATTAGAGCCTCATGAAGTCATTTTTGTGTTATGTTGAGGATTTAATGCCTTGAAGCTTAAAGGCAGTTTTTAGTGCAGCTGTCTAAGCTGCAAAGCGTCCCAATGGTTTATGCTGCAATGCCGTTATTAAGTTTAATTAATGAACATATTTCTAAGGGGGGCGACTTACTGTTGCTGAACTCGTCTCTTAGGGAAGGTGTTGAAGACAAACATGCTTTGAACCTGTTTTCTCTCAGGGTCTCATGGTTTACTCTCATTTTAGACCCATTAAGTTGCTGTCCTTCTTGTGGGTTTCATAATTTTCTTTTTTGTTTCCATAAATATAATGTGTTTTATGTAAAAAAAAAAAAAAAAAAAAAAAAAAAAAAAAAAAAAGATGTCCTCTGGGTTTCTAGAGGTTGAGGTTTATTTTTCCCTCTCAGGATGTCTTTTCCCAGGCTTACACTCTCTGGAAATATGTAGACTTTTTATATTGGATTTCCTGTTCTGCGGAACAGTTATTTTTTTCTGCGATCAAACCATTAGTTTTAGTTTTCATTTATCCCATTTCTGTTTATTTTGCAATTTTTGCTGTTAAGTGCTACCACTTATGTTTTTAGAATATGTGTTAAAAGCTACAAGACTAGCAAATACAACAAAAAAAGTTTCTAAAGCAAATGTGTTTTCTGTATTAAAGTTGATTGGAGGGGGCAGTAAAAATGGGATAAATCTACATGTTTAAATCCATGATTCTTATAGTTAACATTCTAAGGTGATTTAGATAATAGAGGTCTGACTTCATTAAAGTCCTGCAGGCGTGTGTGCATTAAGTGATTTATGTTTGAGGAGAACAATTAGCAGACAGAGAGGAGGGTTTCTGTTGGCATGGATAAACAGAAAAACTCAACCTAAATATGTGCTTAAAGGTATAGTGGAGGGTGTTGTTTTTCCAGATGGATCATCTAAATAAGTGGTCCTCCTAACTGTCAATCATTCTGGTGATATGTTTACGAAAGGCCGTCCTACATGCTTGACCCGTAAAGCCCCTGTCACACCTTGACGATTTAGCCAGCTTATGCCTGACGTCCCAGAATCTTCTAAAAAGTATTCAGAATAAGTCCAGAGCGTATGTCCAACGACAGCCTCACTTATGCATATTGCGCGATAATGCCCATGATATGTCACAGGCCAGTGTCCTTAGGGGGCAGCAATGCGGCAGAGGTTTCCGTCCTGCATAAAAAAATGTCTTTGATTGCGGTATTAACCTAGCTGATGTTTACCGCCCGCCAAAAAAAAAAAAAAAATGAAAAAGAAAGAAAGAGGGTTTGCAGTCGCAGCAGATCCAGCGTCATGTCTACTAGGAAGTTTGTCAGTGGTGGGCGTGAATGCAGGGAGGATCCATCACACTCACCTTCTCACTCACCCTATGATGGGGATGAAGTCTGCAGGACAACTGACGGTTTCCTCCTATGAACCACCTTTTATACCAAAACGCTGCCAATATGCCATTATATGGTAGCTGCACTTTGGAAACATGTTCGGCGGTCATCTGGAACACATCAAATAGGTTGATATGCGTTGGAGACAAGTTCTTGATAAGTTACATATAAGTTATGCACAGGTTACTCATAGGTTTTGGATAAGCTAGGTACAACTACTTATGAATAACTTACACTTAACGTATGTCAATGATCACATAACTTACCTGTAACTTATGGCCCATGTATGAGCTTATGCTGGCATACGTCAGGATACGTCGACACACTTGCTGTATGTCGATGCTTGTCAGCGTGCTTCAAAGTGCTTATAACTTATAAAAGACTGACCCATAACTTATCAAGTGTATGCCAGCGGCTTTGACAGGTATTTTCCTATGTAAGACATAGGTTATCGAAATTATTGAGGTGTGCCGGACTTTAGAGGGTTTTGTCTTTTTTCTGTTCATAGAGCTACAGTTTCAGACATTCATTAAAGCTCACCTTTCTTTATGTAAAGAAAAGAAGGGCCACAGAAGAGGCAGATATATCCTGGAATGCTTTGTGCGGCGAGCTCTACTCGCAAAGCATTATGGGATTTGCTGTCACAGGGGCCTGCTGACACCATAGTCTGTCGCTACACGACAGCGGCCACTAATAAAAAAGAAGCAGCAAGCACTGCGTCTTAGAGGAGAAGTTAAGTGACCAACGGGGAGCAAAAAGAAGTGATCATCTGTCCGAACGGTAAGTTAACTGAGTTTGCTATAAAGTCCAATATATAGTCCACGCTCTGTATAGCGATTAAGGGATTTAGGGGTTAGGGCGGACATTAGGAGACGGTAAGCTTGGATAAGCTATGAGAACAGCAAATTTTAAACAGAGCATGCACGAGGAGAAATGAGCTTGTGCATGCTCTCAGACCCGTTTAATAGGCGTTCCCTCTCGATAGCGGGTACAGGATTGTGCATGTGCTTTTTAGGATATTTATACACTTTGTTAGAGACTCTAGCACTTATGCTAATTATATTTGCAAAGTGACACATTTTCTTAAATATTTTCGTTTCTGGTGGGTGTAAGATATGGAACTACAGTATAACGATTACAGTTAGTTTCCTCTTTTTATATTTGTTGCCATAAATGTTTCTTAGCTTTAACCAGATGCTAACATCCTGGTTAGTTTTAGAACTTTAAATAAGCTTTGTTTCAAGTCTTTCTTCAACATTACATTGTGAAAACATAAGACTCTTGTCCTTAGACTTGCATTTTAGACACAATCGTTATTTAATGCACATATGTGCCACTACCGTCTACCTTTTTCCTGATGATGCTGTAGAATTGATAGTGTTTGCAACATTTTGTAAGAAAGGAGAAGAGTTTTCCAACTGTATGTTTTCAGGTTACTACTTTGTATCTCAGCTTTGTTTTGAAAAGAGCACGTAGAGATGTGTCTCTGCAAAGCTTGGGGGCTTTGCCTCTTCCTGCTTTGCATGCGATGGCATGACTGATGTTACCGTGCTTACTGTTGAACAAACAGAAGGATACTTAACTTTTGTATTTAAAATGTTGCCAAATGGTGTACAATAAAACTAACAGTATGTAACTGAGTGAGTGTAAGTACCCACCACCTCTACCTGTCTCATCAGGGATCATTTTTCTCCTTCGACAGATTTTTTTTAAATTCCACTTTACTTATATTTAGTATTTATTTTTTTTTAACCTTTGTTTCGTTGAATTTTTTTATTTTGTTTGTAGCACATAGGCTACCTATGTTAAGTGCTCTACAAATATAACTTACATTGTAATTAGTTTTTTTAAATTTAAATAACTTTTCAATTATTAATTAATTATTACCTCCATCTATTTGGCTGTGAACCTCATCTTTCTTTTACAGCCCCTCTCAAACTACAGTAAAACGTGCAATCTGCTCAAACTGGTTTTCAAATCTTAACATTTATGCAGCAATTGTTTTAGATCACCTGCTACATCTCCACTTATACCATGTACTGCAAAAGAATTGCACATGCAATTTTACTCATTCCAACAAAGTAAAAAAAAAAAAAAACACTGGACTTTGTTTTCCCAGTTTGAAGATGTTTCACTTCCCATCCAGGAAGATTTTTTCAATTCAAAATGTGGATAAGTGTTGTGTTCCAAGCTTTATAGAGTAGCCCAACAAAGCCTCGTTATGTCTTAGAAAGCATGCAAATTGAACCGGAAGAACAGGTCCACCCTTTGGTTATAGTAACGCTAATGATTCCCCATAGATAGCATAGATATTCATTTAAGGTGACAGTGATGTAGGATCCTGGAGTTCGTCCTGTAAATGAGAGTTGCTGCTTCAAACCTCTAACTCCATCTGTGTCAGTTGCTGTGTCCTGTGTTTATTTATATAATTCATCTTCAGAGAGTTGCTATTCATCCAATCTCAAGCTTCTTATGATACATGTAATGTGTGCCACATTTTTGGCTCTGTTTTTTTGTTTTTCAGAAACCTTAACCATGTCATGACCTTGAAAAACAAGGTGATTTTTCATGCAAACTGCCATCTCAGGGAAATTTGTTTGAAATTGCTTTATGAAGAGAAAAAGTAAAGGCAAGGCAAGGCAAGGCAAATGTATTTGTATAGCACAATTCAGTACAAAGACAATGCAAAGTGCTTTACATGATTAAAGTATAAGAAAATAAAACAGAATCAAAGCAAGTCGGAAAAAAATGCAGAAACAAAAAACGTTAAAAACAGTTGGACTAAAGAAAAAAAAAATTTGAACTAAGGATGTTTCAGTTGAACTGTTTTACTAGAACAGTCGAAGGCAATCCTAAACAAATGTGTTTTTAGTCTTGATTTAGAGGAACTCAGGCTTTCCGCACTTTTATAGTTTTCTGGAAGTTTGTTCCAGATAAGTGGAGCATAGGAACTAAATGCTGCTTCTCCATGTTTAGTTCTGGTTCTCCAGTACTCCATGCAGAAAAATCACCTGGAAGTATGTCACAAAGTAAAGGCACAAGTAAAAGTAAAAGTCTGAACAAGCTGGAAATAAAAGAATAAAGAAGCATTTGAGTTTTTATATGGCTTTCCTTTAATTTAGCTTTCTTCTGTGTGTTTCACACCAACATACCAACAATTAGGTACCGACTCCTTTAGGCTCTTTTTCTCAAAATATCAACCTCACATGCTTCTGAAAGGTAAACATTTAATATCTGAAGTTCTGCTTCATGTTGATAAGAAAAGGCTGGCATCATTATTCAAATGATATTTGGTGAAAAGAGAAGATGTCTCACCAAATGTAGGGAATTCACGCTTACCTGTTTCTTTAGGCCATCCTCCTCCACAGATACACATGGAACTAAGCGCATCCACACACACTCTTACACAGGCCTGATTTCTCTCACCCATACTCACTCACACACCCACACCCATAATGTTTCACACACATACGCACATATGACAACAAAGCTCCCCAAAACATCAACAGCTCTCCCTCTGTGCTTAGGTGGCCCTGGCAGTGGCAAAGGAACACAGAGCCTGAAAATTGCAGAGCGCTACGGCTTCCAGTACATGTCTGTGGGCGAACTGCTGAGGAAGAAGATGATCCATAACGCCACAAGCAACAGAAAGTGGAGCCTGATCGCCAAAATCATCACCAACGGAGAGCTGGCACCGCAGGTAACTGAGAAACTGAGAGGGAGACATGTTAGCGGGGGCGGGGGTGAGATGGACAAAATATTTGAGGAGGGATGAGTGGCATTTCCGCACACTCAGGTCAAGTTGTTATCACAGCAAGCATGCAATAAAGACCTAACTGGCAGAAGCTGCATCACAAGCATGCGGTAGAAGCAAGATGCTTATCTGTCTTATTAGCATCCATCTATCTAAGATAATTACTCCGCTTGGGAGAAAATGAGCACTGACCCCTCCTGTGCTTGTTTACGCTTCACTCTTTCAAACACAGTACCTAGAATAATTATTATACAATAACATTTCCCCTGTTCAGTTTCTGGTAATAGCAGGATACAGCTCGAAGGATTTTGTGCTAGGCTGTACCTTTTATTAAAAACTAACTCAAAGCGACATCTCAAATGTTGAAGAACAGAATGTTTTTCATTAAAACAGCTGCAGCTGAGATTAAGCCGTCATCTGTCCACTGCCATGCTTACCAAATGCTAGGCAAACCTTATGGGCTGCATAACAGAAACCTTTAACTTCTCATTGGTTTTAATTTGGCCCTTCAAAGACAATTTCTCAGTTCAGCTTTAAGCTGAAAATAAATACCAGAAACCTTTTATAGTTAAATATCATCGTAGGCATTTGTTTAATTTGAGCGCAAAGCTGTCCATTTTTTCCCTCTGGAACTTTAAGTTTACCTTAGGTCCTAAAAATGTTAATTAAATCATGTTAGAATCAACAGATTGTAATCAAAAGCAGTGTATACTTTCAAACTGAAAATATATATTTTTTTACTTTTATTACACAGACTTTATGTTTATAGATTAAAAAAAAGCCCCAATATAAGCTAATTTTATTTAGCTGTTGATGTTCGTTATGATAACTGCATCACCTTATTAAATACAAAAGCAGAAAAAAACAACACTCAAATAGTTTACTTTTTAAGGGGAAAAAAGCTAAAAGCATTCCATGCCTTTCTGGAAATATAACACCTTTCTGTCTGGTATTAAAAGGTGTTTGGCCATTAGAGCTTCGTAAAGCCGCAAAAGAGAAAGAAAATCTGTATCTACTTTCTACCCTGATCAGCCAGACTGATATATCATATACTCAGTTTATCTGTAAACGTAAAGGAGCTGGTACAGCTCTATTTTAAAGGCTGGGCTAATAATAAGTTTTTGGTTTTTTGGAGGGTTTTTTAGAAAAGCTCTAACAGCAGCCAGCTGTTGAAATTTTATGCTGTAAACACTTTTTTAGGCCATGATAAAGAACATTAATAAAACATAGCTCCACTGCAGCTGCAATCTTGACTGACTGCAGAAAAAAGTTGCTGTTGTACCAGGAGTGTGATTGGACCGGTCTGTTTTAGACCGGAGAGTATTAAGCCTTACCGTGCCCTGTGTAAGTCAGTCTGGGGTCCGTTACATGAAGCAGGTTTGACAAATTCAGATTAAAATCTGCTACGCTAAATTGATCTAGCCTAAAATCATGAACTCTGAGTGTTCAGTTTCACAACGGCTGCTATCAATTAGCTCAATCAATTTTAACTAAGTCCATTCAGAGGTAAGTGTGTACGCAACGAGTATGAAAAGCCATTATGAGTGGAGCATCGATTGGATGAATCACCATGACAACAGGCAACAGGAAGTGCTTATTTCACCGCACTGGAACTAGTGATTATAATGAAGACATGGAAAAAAATTAAATAAAAAAGGAGAATGTGTTTCAAAGACAGAGAAACAGCGCTACAGCCACAAAGGATAGAAAGGTGGCGAAGGAGAAGATTGTTGCTCGAGTTAATGCGTAAGTTTATATGAAGTGGGCTATGGCAGGCCGGTTTTACATTTATTAAAAGCACTCCTTTCTGTTGTTCCATTTATAGATCACTTAACTATATATATTTTCTAAATTACATTTTTGTAGCATAAACTGAATTTTAGAAAGTAAAAAAAAGATTGTGTGCCTGCATCAATTTAACTTCACTAATGTAACCCTATAAAGTGCTTAAAACAAAACAACCCGACTCCTAGGAGAGGACCTCTAACCCCATTATCTACCCTGTCCTTCCTCAGCACCTCTACTGCACCATATTCTATTCCCCTCTATAGGATTTTATAATTTCCCCTCTGTTAGCAGAGCCTGATCAGTGGTTCTAAGTACCTTATAGGTTTAATAATAACTGCATTTTTATTACCTGATCTTTAGTTTGCTTTAGACATAAGCATCAGTTTAAACATATATATGAATTCCTCAGTAAATAGCAAAAAACATGTGGACTTATATTATTATAGACTTAGTGTAAATAAGATGCAAAGACTCAAAACCATCCACGTGATAAGTCATTTTTTTTCTCTTATTCTATATGAGGCATTAAATATTCTGTACTAGATATATTATATCTCAGAATGGCTGGGGTAATTTTGCATGTGTTTTATTTAGAGGATAGTTTATTTTTCTGCCAGCACAGAACCTTTGATGCATTGCTGTTGCTTGAAGGTCGTAACAGTCACAAGTCTTGGTCCTCGTCATAGAGAGCCCATTTTAGCTCGATTACTCCCATGAATTATCCTCAGCAACTGTCACACTCGTCGTTCATCATCCTTTTCCTGGCATGTCTGAGACATCGCTTTGCCCTTGCAGCAGTTCAGTTCAGATGTCAGCTAAGAGGCGGATAAGACAAACAGCAAAGTAGGCCAATGAGAAAACATATCAGGAAGTGGCTGTTATGCACCAAGTACATAAGTTTTAGTTTTGGTTATATATTTTTTTCAGCTCTCTTGATAATGACAGGGAATTTATCTGCTGTTACTTTAATTATTTCTGCAAGGTCCTCACTGACGTTCAAAAAAATGTATAAGATTCAAGGAAAGCTACTGTCCCTTGATTTAAGGAAAACACCCCAACTTTTGCTACCTTAAAATTCTACATATTTAATGTAATAAACCAGCATAAGTTTTCATTTTGAATTGAGCAAGAAATTTGAGGTTTTATAAACTCTGAGAACTGTCCTGTACTTTCTGATTATGTAAGAATAAAGCAGAAGTGTAAGCCTACCAAGAAGAGGCTGTGCACCTTCTGACTCCATTAGAGAAGGCAATTTTGGACGCGTTTCTGCTTCAAAACACCTCACCTTTTTATTCACTCATTAGTAGAACTCGACTGCATGCTTGTAAAGCATTGGATGCAGGAGTTTAGGGTAAGGGATACAGTTTGAGTCTATTGTGCAAGAGACATATCAGAAAAAGGCATGTAGTTTTTGATTAAAGGAATTTTGACACTGCATGGACTCAGTGGAACTGAATGAGCTTAACAAATTCACATTTCTTGAATACTTTGAAAATCACAAATCTTTTTTTGGTTGTAACATATAGAGAGGTATGGCATTGTATAGGTTTCCTAACTTTTACAGAAGCTTAGTTTATGTCTGTCATATAAATTAAATTTTTTATGATGATTATTACTGTGTCAATGCTCAGTCGCTGCCAATGATCCAGTAGGGCTGGAAGTGCTTATGAAGCACCACTTCACTCAGCAAAAATGCTGCTTGTCTCTCTGTTCTAAACCTCTTTACTCTGAGAAATTTCTCTTGACAATTGAGTCATCTTTAAAAAAAAAAAAATCTTTTTTTTTCTATTCCGTTGTTCTTAAGATTTCCACATTAAGGAGCTGTGAGAATAACAATCATAGGGGGTTAAGGGATGACACAAAGCAGACGTTTATAGGTTACAATGAAAAGAGCGGTGGCTCTTTAGATTAGTTTGAATCTGTGAATGGTTGGCCCACATTTACTCTGCTCTTCTCATGTTAAAAAGAAACTAAACATTGGGCTATTTTTAGAGCAGAGCATTGCATCATGTATCTCTGCCGTACTGCAAATGACTTTCTGCCCAGAGAGATGCGTTCGTACATGTTGACCTCCAGCCATGAGGAAGTAAGTGATGCTAAAAGAAGTTGGCATTCTCTGGTTACAGGGAGTCTTCACTCTGTTGCAGTTACAAACTATTAAAGAAAGCATTGGAAAAAGATGAACGTATTATGCAGCAGGAGGTCAATGCTTTCAACAACTTCCTTTTCTGTGTTAACTCGTATGTTGTCACTTTTCTACTTCAATGTTTTTCATTGGGCCTGATGGACCAAAACAGAGTAGTGCATCCTGTACAGATGTTTCAAATAGGATTTTTTTTTTAAATGTGGCATTCTATTGACTATACTAAGAGTGGCATACAATATTAATATCCAACTTTAATATCGGCCCAGATTTTCATATCGGTGTATCTCCAATAAGTGTAATTCCACCATAGTATTTTCTAAGCTGTTGTCTGAAGGTCCTCAGGCGTCAATCGAAGAGTATTATTTGACAGGTTAAGGATAACTTTGTGAAGATTGAAGCGAGATTAGGTTAACATTCCAAGCTGTAAACATATTAATACCTCATCTTAATAAAAAAGTATCCTTGAGATGACAAAAAGTGCCCAAAAAGCCTATAGTAAGCCATGGAGCTGCAGAGATCCTGGGTCGAGCTGGTAAAACATTTAGTTGTATACTAAAAAAATATGTTCTTTATGAAATAATGGAAAAGAAAGAATGTTAAGAAAGCCACAAGAAATATTGTTTGCACTTCCCCACAAGACTTTCAGGGTATAAGGTTTGTGGTCTTCGAGAAGAGAAAAAAAACAGCAACACTATTAGTACACTATCATCACAGTTAAACATGTTAGTATCCTGCTGTGAATATGATTTTCTTAGACAGAGAGAGGGATGCTGTTAGGATAATCAGAAGATGGATAGAGGTAGATATTGAGCAAGAGATTCAAGAACGATAAACATACAGCCAGAGTTATGATGGGTTAGCTTAGATAGAAAGATATTCATGCATTAGAATTAACTTAGCTTACTAAATATAAAGCTGCAGGTGAACAATATTGTGAACAATATTTTGTAATAATTATAAGTTTGCTAAAAAAATTAAGGGAACACTCAAATAACACATCCCAGATCTGAATGAATGAAATTTTCCCATTGAATACTTCTGTACAAAGTTGAATGTGCAGACAACAAAATCACACAAAAATCATCAATGGAAATCATATTTAGCAAACAAATTGGAAGAACAGGCTGATCCAACTTTGATCTAATGTCCTTAAAACGGGTCAAAATGAGGCTCCGTATTGTGTGTGGGCATGCCTGGGCATGCTTCTGATGAGGTAGAGGATGGTCTCCTGTGGGATCTCCTCCCAGACCTGGACTGAAGCATCCACCAACTCCTGGACAATCTGTGGTAAAACTCGAATTGTGGTGATTGAGACATGATGGCACAGATGTGCTCAATCGGATTCAGGTCTGGGGAACGGGTTGGCCAGTCCGTAGCTTCAATGCCTTTTGACACACTTCAGCCTCATGAAGTCTAGCATTGTCCTACTACAAGGGGTCTTAGGATCTCATCTCAGTACATAATGGCAGTCATGTTACCTCTGGTGAGCACATCGAGGGCTGTGCTGCCCTCCAAAGAAATGCCAACCCACACCATTGCTGACCCACTGCCAAACCGGTGATGCTGAAGGATGTTACAGGCAGCAGATCGCTCTCCACTGGGTCTCCAGACTGTGTCAGGTCTGTCAAATGTGCTCAGTGTGATTTAGCTTTCATCTTTGAAGAGCACAGGGTGACAGCAGCAAATTTGCTAATCCTGGTGTTCTCTAGGAAATGCCAAGCTTCCTGCCAAGCGTCCTGCACGGGCTATTAGCACCACCCCCATCTGTGGACGTTGGGCCCTCATACCATCCTCATGGAGTTGGTGTCTAACCGTGTCTTGAGACACATGCACATTTGTGGCCTGCTTTAGGTCATTTTGCAAGCCTTTGGCAGTGCTCCTCTTGTTCCTTTTTGCACAAAGACAGAGATAGCGGTCCTACTGCTGGGCCGTTGCCCCCCTACTTGTGAAAATGCTAGGCTATTATCTAAACCTGAGACATTAATTTCCAAAACTATTGGCAACACAGGACAAAAATGTAAGTGAGTCCAGCATAAAATGTAACCAAGAATCTGTGGCAAACCTTAAACATCTATTTTCACAGTAACTAGAGATCCTTAGGCTAGACTGGTCTACAAATTTACACTGGGGAATTAAAGACAAATTAATATAATTTGCAGATTTGGGATTGTACAAACAAAATTAAAAGTTTGTTATACTACACAATGAGGCACTACTTTAGGTCGTTTATAACACACAGGCAGAGTTAAATAGATTAAAGGTTTTGGATGACTTATGAAAACAGTTTAAAGGAATCTCAAGGGGGGTTGAACAATTTTTGCTTGGCAATATAAATAGTTTTCATTTAGGTTATTATGTGTTACTGAAGGAGAACCCACACTTTACCGTCTCTTCTTTGTGTTGATCAAAAACCTAATGATTTCCCTGAAGATATAGTGGAAATCCAGCTTACTACTTTATTTTTAACATAACAGCCTCGACATGGGGAGAAGGCAATCATGAATTATCCTACTTTTGTCATTTCTTTCAGGAAACCACAATAACTGAGATAAAACAGAAGATTATGAAGATCCCAGAGGCCAACGGTATCGTCATAGATGGCTTCCCTCGAGATGTTGGACAAGCTCTGTCCTTTGAAGACCAGGTGAGTCTCTGTTATTAGGTCTATTTGTCCTTGAACAATATTTTTGTTCTTGTGTCAGATGATATCCCCTGGTTTACATTTACTATAATTTGATGGGCTCATTCACCATTGCAGAGTTATCACCTCTGACCTACAAGAGCAGTAATAACGCCCTTTGACAGCATGACTTGTTAGGAGTGCTTGAAATTAAATTAGCCAGGATGCATTTGTAGAGTTACTGGTAAAGGCTCCAGTGAAAATGTTCAGAAATAACTAGAAAGTCATAATGGTAGCCATGTGCTGCAAGCCTGATAAAGTATGTAAATGAACCAGTTCCAGTCCAGCTTTCTGCCTCAGATGTGTGATCAAATCATCTGCTGCTCTGTGGGTTGTTTAACCCCACTGGTTATTTCATCTGTTTGATATCAGGAGCTGTGCAACATCATGGTGTCCATGTAGAGACATTTAGACATTTTGCTAAAACAATTGCAAAATGAGACATTTTTAAACAGTTTAACAACTTTGCAGAAGGTGTTGCCCCCTATCTTGGGCCAGATCCCGACTCTGAGACATTTTCTGCATATCTGTCCCTTTCTCTCTCAAAAACAAGAAAAAAGGAAAAATGTGATTTGGTAAATAATTTTTCCCTGACACCACAGAAATAGATTTTCTGGTTGACTCTATAGAAAAATGAAAAAAGAATTTCAGAAATCTATATTTGATATAGATGCTAATATGCACAGCTATGAGATATTTGAGAATCATTCAAGTGCTTACGTTTCTTAATCCTAGCCTGAATTTATTGTTCAGTCATGTTGAAAAATAAGGCAACATCCAAGTAGTTAATTTGATTCATTTGTTTGGGTTGTTCAGTCCATTGCTCTTTTTAAAACAGGATTTCAGATTAGATTCAGCATGTTTCTTCTGTACAGACTGGAATTTCTTGTATTTATTAAGTCTGAAAAGTGCGTCAGGTCTCATAACAGCAGTGGCATTAGTTCACACTAGCCCCACTCATGATGCTTTATGTTACAACTGCTGCTTCTAACCAAGTCTTCTCCTCTCAACTCAAGCCATTAAATTATCAATTTCCCTATGTTAAACAGGTATGGGCAGAATAAGCTAAGATACTGTAGCTGTCACTGGCATTGATTCATATAGTCTTTTCAAGGAAAATTTACTCTTGATCGGGAAGTTAATAACTCAGTATCTACTACCCTAAAAATCTCAGTACATTAACATTTTATGGCTGTTCTTTTGTGGTGATATATATATATATATATCTAGAAGTAGTTAGATCAAGCTGACCATTTTGGCCAACACTTCCTGTCTGAACCAACGGTTGATTAGTTAATTGTGTGAAACAAATAGGGAGATTGCTGTTAGATGGACTGGTGCTAATTAGCACATTCAAATTCACTTAGCGTGTTCAATTCACTTTTAAGTGACCTTCTGAGGGGTTAGTAGAGTCAGTTTATGGAAAAACCTAATTTAACAATTCAGTGATAAAGACTTCATTAAAGAAACAACTGAAAAAGATAGTAGTGACAGAAGCCTTTTTGGAAAATATTCATATTCTGACAATTAAGGTACCAAAGTATGCCAAATTAATATCCCCCAAAGCCTTGTACCTCTACCAACAGCATAACCTATTGATTCAAGGCCCATTTTAACTACTTTATACTAAATTAAGGACTTATAATCTAAATATTACAGCTTGAGTTAAGACCAGTGAGAAAAAACAGTGTTGTTGCATCATTGTCTAGTACTGGTGAGCCGCTTGTAACTACAGAATCCTGTGTTTCGCTTAGAGGAATGGCCCCAGTGTGGTCTTTCAAGATTCCTTTGAATACATCTGTGATGGGAATCATTTAACCTCAATGGCATCAGGCCACATTTATATGTAGCCCTTAGTTTTAGTCCTTAAAATAAACTAACAGGAGAAAGACGGTTTGACTCACAGAGAGGGTGTCTGCTGAAAACACATAAAAAGACCTATTAAAGTTGGTTGCCAATGATTTTCAGCTAAATGTATATGATGTCAGCTGAGGAACGATGCAAAAAGCCTTTTTCATTTTCTGGCACTACTGTACATTACATACTTCTTCTGGGACACAAGATAGTTTTCAGGTATACAACTGAAAATAGAGATGCATGAAATAATGCTCCTATCTTCTATGAAATGCAAATACTAAACCCTGCATGGTGTCTGTCATGAATGTTAAAAAATAATATAAGGATGCATGCAGTCCTAAAAGCAAAGTAAAACCTATATCAGCACAAAACAAACATTTAAAGAGAAATGAAAATAGACAATGGTTGACCCCTATAGTTCAGGTAGTCAGTTATAAAACAAAATATTTTTTCTTTATATATTTACAGCTTTCATTTATTCTGTTTTAGCACCTTGTGTGTGTAAATTAGCTGCCACTCTAAGAAGCAGTCAAGTATTAACTAATTTTTATATTTGAACTGATTATACAGTAGAGCTTCCCACTTAGTTACAGATCTTTATTAAGCTTTTCTCTCTTACAACTTTGCCAGTTTTGTTCACAGTATTTTTAGCTGCAGATCCCCATCTCTTTTTTTATATTGTGTTATAATAAGTCGTCTTCAATGCACAGAGACCTGCTGAAACCATGAATTTGCATTGCTTTGCCGGATTCAGGATGGTTGAGCTTTGCGAGAGATTTTTTTGTACTCTTATATCAAACTAAAACGTAACATTGAGAGTCTCCCTCCCTGCAGAGTGTATCAGGGTAGAGGATGTAACTATATTTATGGTATTTTGCCTCCATGTTTCCAAAACAAGATAATGAAACATAAGATTGTAGGTGCATGGAAATAAAAATTGTGCCATCTTCTTCCTCATCAATTTGATTTAATGCTTTTTTTTTATGTGACACTTTTAATTTTTATAGCTCATTCTCATGCAGGCAGGTATTTACACTTAGACCCTTAAGGCCTACAGAGGTGTATTTTTTGTGCAGCGGTTTTAGAGAATTTATTTGCATTACAAAGAATAGCAGAAAATCTTGACTATATTTTGCCACATTACTAAAATATGTTTTGTTATGTATTAATAGAAAAGGATGTGCAGTTACTGGCAGAATAAATGCATAATAATAATTTGCTTTTTGACCTGGTCTCCTTTAATTGTATTATCACTGGACAAGCTTAAAAAGGTTCTTAGATTTTGTAGAGGAGATTTAGCTGCATGGAGAGTGCATTTAGTAGCCTCTCTCTGGTGGTTATAGGGACCAAACCAAACATAAAAATCATGAAATCTAATATTTTATTAAAGAGCAACTGCTCCCACTTCCCCCAAAAAACTGTAGAACACTTTTGTGAAAAAAATAAACGAAACCCCCACCTAAAACCACCTTATTAAACTGAAACCAAATTGTTTTAATGATTATGCAATTAAAGGAAGGAATTGGTTTTCAGTTTTGTACTCTCTACTTGCCTTGATCTCCGAACAGACATAAGAGATAAGAACTTAAAGGAAGCCAGATGGCAATTCTGCAATATACAATAAACAAAAATGATTGTTGAAATGTACTGATGCAGCTGTGTGAGGTGAAGAGAGTAGGATGTGAAAAATGGTAAACCTGGTTAGTTGAATAAAATGAAACTCTTAATTGGTTTTAAGCCTTGACTTTAATACTGATTGAAAGTGGTAAGGAGATTGTAGTTCAGGAAATTGTAAAATTTTGCATCGTAAATGATATTTCCATAGTTTTCAATTTGTTCCTGAAATATTTCAACCTGTCCTGAAACTAAAACTCTAGAATAAAAAAGCAAAAATAAAAACTTAAAAAATGAATTCCATTTTCCTGTTAAATGTTATTTTACATTTGTTAGGATAAAAACAAATGTGTCTTTTATTTAAAAGCAGGCCTGGGTATTACTGGTTTGTTGAACTTAAAACAAATTGTGATCCATATACCAGTTTGGTTGAGAAAAGAGCAAACTCCTTTCTAGATTAAAAGAAGCTGTTGATGCAAATGATTTGAAATAAAACTGCATGCCTTCCATTTATTAAGGCCAACATGCAATGCCATTCTTCTTGTTTTTGTTCTACATAGGGCTTATTAAATGTTAGAGTTACAATTTAAACAGGTTTTTTCCCCCCTGGTCCTTGTCTCATAAGTTAACAAAAAACTGATCAATAATTATCGATATCTACTGATATGAAGGGCATATATCGAGAAACATTTTTCAGCCAAATACAACAGCCCTAGTTCTACAATAATTTACAGATCACTTCATGATTACCACTAAGCACTTTGTTTCTTTAGAGTTATTGCACCTATTGGGGGCTGCATGGTGTATCGGTAGAGGGGTCCTCTCGTATTTAGAGGCTATAATCCTAGATTAATTGGCTATGGGGCCACTCATGCTAAAAAAAAAAAAAAAAACATATAGTTTATTCCTGATCAGAAAAGATTTAATAAACTTTGTTTTTTGTTGTTATCATGTTTCAACTTAACCTGAAGTTCCCTCATCTGTATGTCACTCAGCTCTAAAGAGTGAAAGCCATACACATAATTTATGTGTGTTAGAGAAGCGATGCATGTCAAAGTTGCAAGATGGTAGCTATTGAGGACCGGGCCATGGAAAAATCAAGTTTTAATAGTACTTATAATATTTCAGTCACAATACATAAATGACTAAAAAAAAGACCAGCACAAATTTACAGATCTGATTACAAACATCCAAATTAATAAAGGAGACTTGGATGTCTTTGGTTTGTGGTCTAAGTGCTTTACCAGAATTTTAATACAGTGAAACAGAAACCTGCAGAGGGGGAAGAGGAACAGGAAAAGAGGAACCTTACAAGCATGTCTTGAGATTGTGGGAGATAGATGGAGTATGCAGACATAGCTCATACTTGCAAAGAAAAACATAAAAACTCCATGCAAATAAGCCTTTGAACCATTGCATTGGAATTAAAGTTATTTTACATATAGCTGGCAAACAATAAAGGTCGTGCTGTTTTTTTCTTTCTGTAACTGTTG